AGCACGATGTGTTAATTGGGAGATTTGCCCAGTCTGTGTCTTTAGTTCTGTCGTTGATGTATCCACTACTAATCAGAGTCCAAAAAGCCATGTGTCACCGGTTCTGCTCCAAGTCACCTGTGAATCAGTGAGTTGAGAGCCGACCATAGTTCATTTGTTTTGAAGAGGTTAGCTCCGAATAACAATGGACCCCGACAGACGATGGCGATGGAAGTGTCTTTAGATGTGGCTTCATTTGCCTCTCTTGCCATTCTGTAGGTTTCTCTTCAATCGAGGTATTTTGTTCCAATGAATTTCTGCTTGTAAACCTCGTTATTAACTTCTACATGTTTTGCGATTTTGCGGTACTTGAGGACATTTTGAATTTCGTATAGGTACAAGTTGTGATGTTCTATGTATTCTGTAAGCCCATTTTCTGCTATCGGTTAACTAGTAAAGTATTCGGTGCTTTCATAATGACGCTGTGCTCTGGATAAATTCACTTTAAATTTAGCAGCCATTCTTCCGTTCCTCGTACTACTATTTACGATGTTTGTAAAATCCAAGCACTCTCAACGTAACGCATTAAGTCAAAGGTCCAACTGTTTTGTTTTATCTTAAACCTTTTAAAATATATATTTTTTAAAGTTCTGAAACGTTGGCTGCAGTTTAATAACGTCCTTTATGCTCTATTTTCTATTTACTTGACTCCTCCTCCTCAAATAACTTTCTCTTGGTCGTTCATGTACAGACTTCTTTTAATCGCAGACATTTAAATAGTGCCGAGGTGAATTCGATCCGATTTAGGCCAATCAGGAGCTAAGAAATTGTTTAGTGGGTCCAATCAGCAAATTCCAAGGTTAATTATAATTTAGGATTCACAATTATCCTATTTTCAAGACAACATGTACCCTAATTAGGCACTTTTACGACAGTTCTCTGGAAACACCTCAACACTATTTATTGTTAAAGGGCGGATCGCTTTACTTAATGCAGAAACAGATTTTCATAAAGATCAGACCAAAATGGAATTTTTATGTGGTCATTTTTAATCTTGTAATAAAATGTTATGACTTGAATCGAATAAATTTTCGGACTAATCATTTGTGGCTTCAGGATTGTACGTCAACAAGCAAACATTCGTTTTAACAGTGGCGAATTTTAAATCAGATTTCTCTTTGTTTAGCCTTGGTTTGCAAATATCTATTTTAGCCGAAATTGTTCTACATCTAAGTAACGCGCGTGGCAGCACAGGGAAGGCGTAAATATTGAAATGTTGCGTCCACTCTTACCTCACGGTTCCTAAGCCTTTACAATTTACTAGTTTTTTGGAGTTAAGACATCGATGTCTAAGGTTTAGCGTCGATAAGGTGCCGGTGTGTGTGTGTTAGGAGTGGCTGAAAAGCAAGCTTGAATATGTATGTATCTACAATGACAGTCGGAGGAATTGTAAAAGTGCCCATTACTCACTTCACGCACACTCTCCCCCCGCATCCAAGCAGTTGGTGTCTCTCGATTCTCGTGTCTCTCATGGGAACACTTTCGATAGTTGACCCTAGGGAAGATGAATTACATGGGCACATAAATTACGCTTAAAGCGAAAAACTTGTTTCCCGAGCTCTTGGACAGCATGCGCTCACCCAGATGGATGAGTCATTGTGGCGTGCCTGATGAAAATTTATCGATCGGTAAGGAGCGTTCTCACGCAACCAGCTGGCAAACATATCGTCGAGACAGTATTGGTGAAACAGAGAATGTGCGAGAAGAGGCCCCTGGCATTGGTTCGGTTCTCACCAGTACAGATGACACTTAACCAGTGGGATGTCCTATCAAAGGTTGTTTGTTGCGACTCTCTGGAGCCTTCGTTTTAACGGATAAAACGATGATTGCCATCAAACGCGAAACAGTGGAGACTAAAGATCCGCATTTGAAATCATTCACAGACCTTGGGTAATGCAGAATTTTTATTAATTCTAGCTACTTCGCATATCGGACACGTCTATTATAAGGTAGACAAGTTCAAAAAACTTTGCCCTGTCCATTTTCTTTTCAAAGTAGTTGATAGTTCATTGATTCATTTACAAATTGCATTTGTTGATACATTCATTTCTGTTTGGCGTGTAGACGTTTTTACACATAAGACGGCACAGTTTATCTGGCTAGAGAGCACACTATGCCCGTATATTGTGGCTGGAATAACCCTGTATAAGTGAATTGGGAAGCACTCCTAATCAAATATTACTGCGGCATTCGCTTCGTCAACGTCTTCTCACGGTGCTGACTACTAATGAGCACGAGTCTAGTACAGGTGGCGTTGCAGGGATTTCGAATATGACCTAGTTGCGTAGTGCAGTGAGTTGCACAAACCACTGGACTGCTGCTACCGGGGGTGCGTGAGATCTCGGCGGCATGGCGGAGGCACGATAAGGCACCACGGCCACAACGATGTAACGAGTTTTTGAGAGTGTCGATTGAAGCATGTGGTTGGGTGGTGTCAAGGTGGAATACAGTGGTACATTTTGTTGGCAAACTGTGACCACTTCTTCCTCCCGCTCCTCCTCTGCCTCCTCCTCCTCCTCTGCCTCCTCCACATCTTCGCTTCCTGTTCGTTGCTTCCTTCACTCTGACTACGTGTAGGTCCTTGTGTAGTCGTTTGGTAGTTTATTGGCGTCAGTCCGTAGTGTGTGAACGACACCCCTCCAGGTCAACCATGCACACCCACACACGCACACACACACACACACACACACAAAACACGAAGTCGTCGTGTGTGGGTGAACTCTTGCGATCCCCGCCACTGACTCACACCGCTTTCCCTGACAGTATGTACCACCGTTGCCCATACTGATTGTTGGCGAAATGGCTCTGTCCCGACGACTTGGAGCATGGAAGTGCATTCCATACAATTATGCTGACGTCGCAACTGAGATATTATTTTCAAGGTGCAGAATTGTGATTTGTTAAAAGTCGGTCACAAAGTCTAGACGTAGTGATGTTTCTACAAAGCCTAAAACCGTGCACTACATCGTATTTTCTTCCAAATATTTACTTTTTGGAAAATTTACTCTCAGCGTTATTCACGCTGTCGGTTTAGATGACGTCGTTTGGCGTAAATGACTAGTGGGATCAAACATTGTTACCTGAAGTGATCCGCGTGTTAATCGTCAAAAAGTTTCCCTTCTACCTTATATTTTTGTGTATCAAAATTGTGCAAAATATTGGCTTTTATTACTTTATTGCACTTTTTTAAGCCATCCGTTTTAGCATATGCACGTTTGTAGTGCTAACAGCCCTGTTTACGCCGACGCGCTAGTCACCAGCGGTTACCCGCACGACCGACGCTTTAACGAATGGCAGGATTCGACGAAATTTGTGCACTCACGTCGTGAGCTTCACGCCTCGTTTAGGCATAACAGTGCTGGATTGGGGGAAGGGAAATGCAACAAACGGCAAACAACGTCACCCCTTGTTAGATTTTGACACGGCAGTATAGACAAACACGTGTTTCCAGCGGGACAGCCCACAAAAATGGTTGAACCCTTGCTGCAGATCCTGTAAAATCGATTCTTCCATGTTAGCCAACATAAAATTAATGGAGGGGTGTGAAAATGTGTTTTCCATTGGGCTAGTAAACTCTTTGGGAACGTGGTCAAATCAGTTAACTTTTTAAGGCATTTAGCACCCTTGGGACTTTTTTAATGCCAGCTAACCCAATCACAAATCCCGGTGCTTCTTCAACACATTTTTGCCCTGTGTGATTCAGTCTTCAAGTCGAGAAGTCATCATTTTCTCCAGGGTACATGTCTTCAGCATTTCTACTCTTCAAAACACTAAACGGCTTTTCGTGTCCTGCAAAGTGGTGTCATAAGGCACACCGCTGTCAGATTCTAACTCACCATGCAGCTCTTCAAACATTCCTTTTGACCTCGGATGGGCAAACGGTGTATTCAAATAGAATAAGTATTTGAGCTCTTGCTTTGGCACAAAGACATCCTTTCCAAGAACCTTCGGCCTAGTCTAATCCTTATCATAACTTACCACCATGAACCCTAGTCTGTAAATTTCACACAAGTGCACTTTAATTGTTTAAGGGCATCGCCACGCTCACTAACAGCTAAAAAGTGGTTTTTACGACCTAAATGCCCCTTTTGAATTGATGATGAAACTGTTCTGGGATGAAGGGTTATTGGCAATAGTACAAGACTGTGATTATACGATAAATGTGGCTATGTATGGCTAAAAGGCGTAACAGCACGGTCGAAGCATGCCCATGTATTTCTGCAAAAAGTTGAAACAAGTCTTTTAAGGATTAAATCAACAAAATCGACCAAATTGTTCGTTAATTCCATATCCAAACAATTTTTTATTTGGTGGCAGTTTAAAAAGCTAAAACTAAAAACACCTGATTGTGGTGTAAAAGACTGAGAAAGGAGAAGGGAGAATTATCATTTTTGAGGCCCGTACGACTACGATTGAAGGCCATAAACAAACTCCATGTGGCAGAGGGTTATTTCAGGTGTTTAGCTGCGCGCGTACACTCGCAACCAGTGGGAAGCCTGATTACCTTCATCACCCGGTAACGACGTCCTTTTGTTACACCACTTTGCACTGCACTAACGACTTTGCTTCCTTGCTATTTAGAGGGCAACAAAGGACGTCTATTACTGTAGTTTGGATGATTTTTTCATTTAAAATTATATAATCCCCCTTATTTTTGCTTGCTATAAAATAGTAGGATCGGCATAGGGAGTATGTTTATTTTATTTTAACCCCTACCTAATTTAGCTACCGACCCTCAACCTGCAGAATGAAGAAATTTTTCTGGCTTTTTAGTTGGCACGATCCCTACTTATGCGGGTTGAGAAATGTGCGTTTGTGCTAGCAAGGACCAAACGAACGTGTTGACTAAAATTGCGACTTTTCATAGACGCATATGTGCGGTGTCGGTTTTCGTGTATTCCCTGGAGTTTAGCTGAACCAACGTCTGTTCGTAGACAAAATAAAGTAGTAACAATGCGTGCCCACGCTCGCACACACACACACACACAATGCCTGGGAAATTGCAAAACTTCGCTACATTTTATCTTATGTCTCTTGAATGCGTCATAGGAATCAGTGTTAGTTGTGTGTATAGGCAAGTAGCTTTAGCTACTTCCCTGGGGAACCCTATTTCCTTCGATTCCGAGGTGAACGGCTGCCATATTCACCACTATCAAGACATAAAAATGAAATTAAAGTTTGGAAACAGATTTCCTGTAGCTTACCTGTTCCTCTCTGGTATAAGTTAGCAGTACCAGCTTTCACCAGTTTGTATGTTGGTAGACAGATAATCTCGTTAGGTTGTAGACTACATGCATTTGCAACACTCAAAAACCCTACAGACGATTCAGCATTTTGTATTTCGCGGAGTACTGAGGAGTCCAAAATGGTAGGAACCCGAACATGCAAGTCACGCCACAGTAACCCTTATCCTTTCATGCTATTCAATGTGAATGCAGATAAAATTCATTAAAGCCTGAAGATTCTGACCACTATACAGACCTCAATAGAATCGAGGAGGCGAAATTTCGCCTAATGAAACCACATTCCAATTTCGGTATCCGGAGCCTTTTTCAGAGTCTCAGCGATTAGCAGTAACCTGCATTAACCGCAAAGTTGATGCGGTTAGAGAAACTCAACGATCCCTAGATTAACGTGACAATCAGAAAGCAGCCAAGTCTAGTTAAATTGGAGGGGTGGGTGGTTGTGTTCTGTGTGTACACGTTGGTCCCTCATTCATGTCATCGTTTGTGTGCAATGTATCGGCGCTTGTTCGCCAAAACAAGTCCAATCGGCTCGCTCGCGAACCTGCGGACTTGTCTGCCAAGTCGCTGACAGGGCTTCGTTACACCTTCATTAATCTGTTTTACGCCCCGTAGGATTCGTAGCAAGAAGGTGCCATGCGAAAGGAGAGATGGTTTACCTTTCAAGGTATTAATGCTTACTTAGGGATGCCTAGTTTTCTTTTAATTTGCAAAAATCATATCACAGTGCGATTATCTTTATTTAAAAAGCCGCAGGACGGATTGATTACACAAGTCCGTCATAGTACCTATTGTGTTGATGGCTTACTGAGGCGCTTTCAAACACAGGATTTTTGCTTTTCCACTCTAGCTCAAGTGTGAGCAGGTCACCGCTGACACAAGCCACAAGCATTCCAGAAAGTCGTTCATCGACGCCAGATCTCCACATGCATCTCTCCCAGACTCACGCTTCGACGGGTTACGATCCACAGGACTTCATTTCCACTGGGGAGCACCTGTCGGATCCCTCCCAATACCCCCTAACAGTACCTCCTCCCCCTCCCCCACCCCCTCCGTCGGTAACCCCCACTCACACGTATTTTCCACCACCTCCTCCTCCTCCTCAAAGTGACCCCTATTATGCAACCTACTCTCGCCAATATGACTCCGCTGAAATGCAGAAACCGTCCGGCTTTCAGCATAACTACTCCACCAGTATCTACCAAGTAAACCAGTATATGCCAGTGGACGCCTCGGGTCAAAAGTTGGTTGTCACCCCTCAGGACGTCTGCTTTGATCAAAGTGGATATCGGCAGATGCTGGGGACCATGATGAACCACTTGGTGCCTCCCGGAAGTCAACTGTGCCAGGTGGCGAAAGAGAGTCTCCGCCAACGCGCCCCCTCAATGGTCTCTGTGTCAAGGTCGTCGGGATCACGTGGAAAAGCTACCAATGACGTCACAGCCATGAAAGAAAAGACTCCATGCGACATTTGTGGGGATGTCTCAGCCGGGTTTCACTGCAACGCCTACGTCTGCGAGGCTTGTAAGGTGAGTTGATGGTACTTGGCTGTTGGTCATCCGAGAAGCACACATCAACTTTGGATAAAGTATTCAAGCCTGTTACAATAGTAGACTACACAGAATGCCTTTAACCAGATTGGTCGCAGTGGTCTTGGCACTTTCCTGCGGTCTGGACTCGCATTTAATACTTAGCGAGTTGGGAGGAATGGGTGAATCTGCTAGTTCACCAGGAAAAACTGGTTGATATAATTTCCAGTTCTGTTTGGTACTAATAATTGTAGCAGGTTCCTTCTTGCTATTGCGTGTCTGCAGTACCCCTGTTTGCAATCCTCTGCTGTGTTTAGTTAGAATTTGACCCACGGTTACAACAGCTTTAGTTCGTAATTTAACCGTCCCGGTACTTCACAACTCAGCCGTGAGCTGCAAAGGCAGGAAGTAGGGCTGGTTCCTTGCATGCAGATCCCGAGTGAACGTCATTCCAGCTCGTAGTGTTGCTGGTTGTGGCATAATTTGCAGGGTTGGTTGTCCGGTCCCATGACCTATTTTAGTTGTTAACCAAGCACATAGTGATAGCTGAGGTTTTTTCATTACCTTAATCCTCAATTGAAATTTGCTGTCAAACCGGTCCTCTTTCGAGTTCTGTCAGCCTTAACCGCACTGTGGCCAATTACAGAAATCGAAGTGTACCAGTTTACACGCCATTTCAGTTTACACACAAATGCATAAACAAATTCCCGGTGGAGGTGTAATCGGGAGAAGTGACGGGGGGGCCAATATAAATGAGGTTTCATTTTGTCCCTTCCCAGCACAGGTTTTGATGGGAATGTATACATTTGCCTAAAAGGTGTCGGTACTACAGGCGGACGAGGGAGGAGAGATTGGAATCCCTAAGTTTTATCAGCAATCTCGGCGCTAAAGTTGAATCACTGCTTTTGGGTGAAGAACCGATGGGAACGCGTACCAAGTCGGTTTGTGTGATAGTCGGTACCCAGCACCAAACGCCTCCTTGTCGGATTATGAGATTAAAGTCAAGTCAGGCAGTCATAAGGATACACTGAAGATGCGTGTGATTCGAATATATTCGACCGGCAAAGCAAAGATACTTTAAACCTTTAAATGCAGACATCAACTGTAATGCAACGGCCTGTGTTTTTCCACAAGCCCCTCAGCAATATTTAACCACCAGTAAAGTTGCCTCAACCTAATCCACTTTCATTTGCTGCTTTTGTTCTGTGAAAGCTCTTAATTCGTCAAATTTTATAATATCAAGCTATTGTGAATGTAGCAAAACCTTGTTATTTCCAAGCGGAGAGGGGCAATAAATTGTACTTAATGGACCAAAATGCGAGTGCTGCGCTCACCCTACATTGGGAAGGATACAACGAGCGTCATCGCCTAAAGCGACCTATTTTCTGGAGAGAGCGGAGAATGGAGTTGAGGACGGATTACTACTACCGTTAAAATGATATGCACGCACCAGAATAATCCCAATTCTCCCGCTCTCCGCGTCCCCCCCTCGCGGAAAGCAGTTGCGCGCTCACACGCGAACATCTGCCTGACCAATGAAATTTAGGCGCTAATCGCCTGATTGGCTCAGCTTTGATACTGCGCATCTGCTCATCAATGCTACTTAGTGAAGATGCATGTTGCCATGGCGATCAATGGAAAGTCTATCAAACCTTAGTGGTTCTGAAACTTGAGGCCAAGCCATGAACTTTGCTGTTCCATTGGGCTGCAAACTATTAATGTATCTTTTCCGTTTTACCTTTTTTTAGAAATTTTTCATACGAAGTTCAAAAAATGAAAATTACACAAAGTACTCCTGCTCCAAGGTGAACGCCTGTGAGGTGAACAAGGACACACGGACACACTGCCAAAGATGCAGGTTTTACAAGTGCTTGCGGATTGGCATGGTCCTTCCTGGTAAGCAAACTCTTGGCACCAATCTAAGACGTTGGAGGCTTTGAGCAGTGCAACTGTTAAAACCGTCCTCTTTCGACTGGATTTAGATGGGGCTCTAGTGAGCGTAAAGCTTATTTTTTAGCTGGGGATTGTTCAATGAGGTGTGACAGGTCCCCTCCTAATTTTCATGCCTTAAAACGTTCAATGAAGCTGCCGTGTTTACCACTATATCGTTTGCATTACGTACATCAAAGTTCTATCTGGACTGGTCCCTCTTAAGTTTGTAGTGATACGTTTTGCGTCGACGTGTCTGTCACCAGTTCAGCCGAATATTTTGTCCAGACGTCTGTTAAGGAACTCCACAAATTCGGCCCCCAAATTACTTCATAGGACTTGCATAACTCGTGGGCCTGGATTTTTAGAGTCACAACGCTGAATGTGCCTTATTAGTAAATACCCCACCATGGCGATGCCAAACGACCTTAGCAATGTAGTTTGCCGTTCAAACGAAACACTGAACTGAGGTCGGTGCGTCCGTTCTGCTGTCGTGTTCATGAAATGAATGTCATGTGAGAAGACACACCGCTGCTATAGGAAACGGAATCCACCAGATTTGGGACTTGGTTTTGTGCCACCTATCGGGCGTTTCGCAGGCACACGCCGCTCCTGAAACAACACGAAAGCGTCCAGTAAATGGTGCAAAAAGGGTGACTCCACACTGAGTCACTGTTGTCCGTTTGCAAAAGGCATCACGTCCACAACGGCTGAATTTCACACGCGCACCCAGGCGCACTTGTGTAATAGTCACGACTGCATGTGGCGAAAATTGTCCGCGGAACACTCAGGCCCATGCCCACCTGATGTGAAACTTGTTTGTCAGCAAACGAAGGCCCTGAGTCGCTTAAGGAGCACCAAGCTAATCTTTTCGACGACACCGGGGCTACGAATCCTTCGAGTAAACCAAAGGACCATGATCCTTAGCGTCGTCGACGTCGTGCAGCTTCGTTTATTGCTCCCTTGAGTTCAGTATCGACGCAACTGCATTTGGTCATTTCCATCTCTTTAAAATGGCCCAATCAAGTGGACCCCATTCTCGGGGTATCTGGTCTAGTGAAGCGTTGACAAGTGTTCGACTTCGGTGTCGATGACACTAGGACGCCAAGGAGGACCAACACTCGGCTTCACAAAAGGCTCCCTCTTTTTATTGATAGTGTCGTTTCAAGCAAAAACAGCTATTCTATCACATCAAGCGAGAATGTCTTCCAGCGCTGGCACGTAAATCACTGACTCTCGAATAATCGTCTGTGCTGACTGCAAGTTTCCGAAGAACAGTTTTTAGTCGCACCAACAAAGTTTATTGCATCCTTTACTGGTATCGTGGCAACTCTGGCCTCAATGTGTGACAAACCAAAAAGTGAGCAGATGAAGAGGCGAATGTAATGTACCAAACGTAAGATCTAAGCAACTGGGATCATTTTAGAATTCATGTAGAAATATGGAATATGCGAATTACACCTTTCAATGCTTCAGGGCACTTTACTATCCAGGCTTGAAGTACTTAATCCAACCTTTGACTTATTACCTGAGGTTGAACACATCGGATAAATTGGTAGTGGATCAAGAGGACGACTATGTGTAAAGCCGTTGGCGGCATCCCGTGCTCAAACCGAGACACCGACAACACTTTAAAAGTGGAAGTCAACTGGTTGGACGTGCCACCGGACCTCCCAGGCACCTGCTTTGGCAGACACTGGTTACCTTTACTCGTGCAAGCGGAAGATTAGAGGATAGCAGAACACAATAATTTCGGCACACACATGTTCTATAATTGTGAATCAAGGGTGAGACTGAATTTCATGGCAGCAAAACCGTTAAAAATGTGGTTAAAGCAGTTTGGAATAAAATTAGTTGAAAACGGGGGAGTCTTTTAGGATACTCCGATGATGGTAACAAAGGTAGCAGAGCCGATTTCCATGAGGAAATAGGCGCAGAAGGTGGATAAACTATCAGAAAACTGTTCGGGTCAAATTTATGCCGAACGACAGCAAGGCACATGTAGTTTTTTGGCGCAAGAAATTGTAAGTGTGAATTTCTGTTCACAGTCAGGGAAAGTGGAGGCAAGTCAGTGTGGCTGCCAACTCTCGAAAGTGGTGTGTAGCATGAAGTAGCTTTCATTAATCTGAGTGGAAGGCCTTTCCAGGCAGCTTCGTGTATCCTATAGACGTGACAGGACTCCAAACAACTTTGATCAGATGCGAAGGTCTCCAGTGGTTGTGGAAGTAACGGCCTGGGTTTCGTTTATATTCAGTTTCGTAAACAAACTTGAAGGATCCACCTTGAATGCACTTCTTAAAAGTATTTTTTCAGAAGACATCGGTGGGGTAGCGGATTAGTTGAACAAATTCCACATCGATGCTTTTTACTAAAGCACTTTCAATGAAGCTAAGCCAGCTAGTGCCTTCTCTGACTTCCATAATTGTATGCATAAATTTAATGCACTTAAAATCTCCGACTACGGCGGCTATTCGCTCGGATAAGAAGTGAGCAGTGAAGATAAACTTCAAAAGTGCCGAATATCTTTTCAGTAAGTCGACTTATCTGCAAATGAATGATCCCACAAGTATAATTGGCAAAACACTTCCTACGAGCACATTTTCTATACTAGCGCTTGTAGATTATCTATGAAGTAGATACACCAGTACCTGGTGGCATGTAAAGTAACAAAATATTTGGTAAACCTCATCAGTCAGTTAACTAGTGCTTGAAGAAATGTACTTTATAAAAAGAACTAATATGGAAGCTTTTGGGTGGGCTGACTGTCAACTCTTGAACTTATAATCTTTAATGGCACCGTGAATGTGTGACAGCGATATGAGCAGCAAGCATTTACATGACGTCACGAGCTGATTTTTTTGCATAATCAAATTATTTAAACATTGCGCATTTGACGAGGTTAGAAGGCGCTTTGATCGTCGTCTCGTCCACAGAACCAAAAGTGACCTCAACTACAGTTAAACTATTTAAAAAATTCGACTTTTAACAACGGAGCGGAAAGGTTTTCGTCTCCTGTAGGCGCACACAGGTGTTCCCTCTCCGACATACATCATACAGCCTTCCTCCGCCTCCGCCTCCACCGCCTCTTTGGCCGTGGGGGGGGGGAAAGCCTGGGAAACGAAGGTGGGGGGTGGTGGGGGTTGTGGGGATGAACATGACGACGACGACGATGCTACCACTAAACAGCGTGCTCTCACGCTTTGGTGGGTGGCCCCGACGCCGGACTCAAATCAGCACACGGTCGTGTGACGGACAGCGCGCTCCGAGTGCCGCTAATCTGAGCGGTCATTTGTCACGCGAAAGACACCACGGTTTTCGTGCTTAAACTCTCCGCCAGTTGGTTTCTCAACTAGTATATATTTGCAAAGGGTCTTCCATTTGTTGATTTGAGTTAACTGAAAAAGATGCTTCGCTGGAGGCTGGAGTTTCACAGAATCACTTTTCTTTTGTTACTTAACTGACTGTTCTGTTGGTGATGCAGTCATTTATCGAAAATACTGAAATTTGTGCAAAGAAAAATTATTTCTCAGCCGAATCATTCATGAAGCCTTGGATTTGCCGGAATCATTTCAAAAAAAGTGAATTTCACAAAACCGGGTGACGATTTTTTTCAGTCTATCTCAATGGTAAATAGTTTATTAGTAAGATACCCCAATGAGGTATATCTTATTCCCCGTTCGATTCAGCATTTACAGTGTCGATTTGTGGATGACATAATCACGATTTTTAGTCCACCTTTAAATCTCAATGACTGACAATTTTCATGTTACGGCCACGAAATTTAACAGCCCATCGACATATACTATTTGCAATTCACTCCATCAACAGGCGCTGCTGTCTGCCCAGCCAATGACATTTCGATAATTCCCTGTCGCGTTTGCGGAGCGCAGTCGTCCGGATTTCATTTTGGCGCCATCACTTGCGAGGGCTGCAAGGTATGTGTGTGTGTGTGCGTACACGAGAAAGAATGCTGGCGTAGACTGAACCACCTTCCCGTTGGTGTCTTAATTAAGCACTTTTCTTTCTCCACTCCCATACAGGGTTTCTTTCGAAGGACGATAAGCGAGAGGGACAATCAGAGGTATACCTGTCGTAATGGTGGCACGTGCATAATCACCTTGGCGACCCGAAACAATTGCAAAAGCTGTCGTTACAGGAAGTGCCTTTCGGTTGGAATGTCGAAAGAGGGTAAGAGAAATGTAAATGACCGCGTTGGCTTAGTCGCCAGTGCCAATTTCATGGATGCCTTGAAGGGAAATGAGGAACCTAAATGAATTGGACAAATTACTTAGTACACGTTCGATGGTATTTCCTGTGGATGGTCTCTAGTACCATGAGATCAGCCTACTGCCATCATTGCAGCTGAAAATTCCGTAGCCTTTTGCATCAACTTAAGAGGGTCGCAAAAGAAGTGTCCAATATGCGGAGCCTCTGAGGCCTTTTCAAAGTCTTTCTATTTCGAAGCCTGAGTAAAAGACTGCCTACAACCGGCAGATTCGAGGAGGTGAGGCATCAAGACAGTCTGATTTCAGTCGATGTCACCGACAAATATCAATGGCTGAGGATACTTAATCTACCTTCGTCAATTTGCACAACTTAAAACCATGACCAGAATCCACACAGCGGTAAACTAAATCAACAGTTAGGGCCTGCGTATCAAGTTATGACAGGTACATGGCCTAATCCATGAACAATTAGACACTCAATTAAGAATCCACTGCAAAGGGGATCGGTGCTTGGGCTGGCTTAGCAGACTGAAGAAAAATTGTGCTACCATAAGTTTGTCAAACTCTTGAGTTCACAAACTGATCCTGGTAAAGCAGTACAAACTGGAAGTTTGCTAGGAGTATTTACTTTGGGTGAGATCCAGTTGGTACATTATGAGGCATATTGAAGAACGTGTCGATCAGTTTTTCCGCGTGGCAAAGTCATGGCGCATCAAATGGCATTTTGTTTTGAGGAAAAACCTTGGGTGACGCCATATTCTATTGGATTTGTATCACTTTTATTACTAAGAAACGTGAAAAAGTGTTGCCTTCATAAAAAACAAATAAATTTGATTTCCTTTATGCAGGCAGTAGGATAGGAAGACAGCCCAACGCCGTGAAGCACATGTGTGCCATTGAAATAGAGAGGATCAAATCAAAACTCAGTTCTTCCACCGCTCCAACACCACCTCCTTCCTCCGCGACTTCCAACCCCGCCAATTCCACAGCCTACTTCGATCAGCATCAACAACAAAGTTCAGTCGATCAAACAAGCGCTGCATTATACCAATCGACTAAGGTAGATGAAAACAATAATGCTCCAGAACTCCTTTTTCCTCCATGGCCCACAGCCAGTTACCCCTACTACGACACCACCGGCCACGTTAGCCTGCCAGAAATCACGGCGATTTCCAAAACTGGCTCCACTCTCGAGCACCAACGATTCGCCAAACTGGCGGAACTTGCCGGTGAAGGTGATGCGACACCGTATCCCGGGGTTTTCCCTGAAGCAATGGATACATACGAGAGCAGATACGGGGATGTGGTGCGAGTGCGTGCGGGTTCGGACGCAGGCTCGCTGAGAGGCCAAAGACAAACCTCCGCTGGTACCTCAAGTTCCGAGGATCTTCTAGTGCCCACAGTGCAGGCGACGACGTCGGCGATAACACTACCTGCCAGTACCTCGCATTTATATGAATCTTCTGCAACGGCGGTCACAATGAGCACTTACGAACAGGCAGCAGTAAGTAAACAGTGATAGGGGCACTGCTTGGGTATAAAACCTTTCCTGAGAAATCAATTGCATAATTACTTGCTCAGTTAGGTCGATACACTCTGCCACCAAGAGAAAGCGTACTAGCCTTGTGTATAATAAGATAGGCAACTTTGATGCTAAAGCATCTGGAAGTTGTTCTGTGGATAATCAAACCAGACATAAGAGGAACATCCAAGGGATTTACCACGTCGATCATTGGCTATCATACATACAATGGATTTTGCTTTGACGATTACGGCAGCGATAGATCCCGTGTCCCTAGCTATACTACACAGCAAAGAACTCAAATAAATCGCCTGTATACAAAATCATACTTCTGATTGAATTTTTTTCCAAGAAAGACATGTTATCTCTGACCATTTTGGTTGCATCTTTTACTAAAAAAGTTCCATGGCAGGGCTATCGTTCAGGTTTGTTTTCCTTAAATAATTGCTATTCGAATCATGTTCATGTAGCTCTCGAGCCTAATCCAACTCGCGAAGCAGGTTCAGTCGGCAAGCAGCAGCGGCGGAGGTGGGGGTGAGTCACTGTTGGTGGGCGGGCGGGTGCCGACCCAGACTGGGCCCGACCACTTCCCGCCAATCGACAGTCTGCAGCCGCCGCAGACACTGCGCCACCATCGACCCAGCAGCGTCTCGCACCTCGACGACCACCGAGGCATGGCGGAGAGCAGCTCTCCTGAAGACGAGGCCGGCAAAATTCTGAATCGGTCGCGCAGGCACCTCACTGTGGACTCACTGGTTGTCACGAAGAGCGAGGAGACCGTCGTACCGATGGCCCAGTCGTTTTCATTGGGAGAAAGTGCGTGAAAGCAAAGTCTACTTATCCACAACTAGGCATGAGCTGGGTTGCTTGGACAGTAGTGTCAGTATCAGCAGTGAATTATTTTGGCTAGTATGTGCACTTTGCTCAGTGGTTTGTTGGGTCGAACTTGTTACGGAAAAGTACTAAAGCGAATTTGACAGCAGCAAACTTAGAGTGAGTTGTGATCCTGTTCTTCTCTGACACTCAGCGAACCCACTAACATGGAAGATGGCAATGGACTAAGTGGGCACAAACGGGTGCTCAGTCGCTTGGACCTCATGCGTCACCGTGGGTGCGTGTGTGTGTGGGATCGAAGAAGAGGCAGGGACGAGTCACTGATGCTGTTCACCTTCTGACAACCCTGTTCGCAATTCTTTCTACTTAGCATGCCCCTTAAATGTCCAGTCAGGACTCACAATGTCACTTACTTTTATTATCTCGCTTTCCAGCCAGTTCGTAGCAAATTTTACTGTTACTCTAGCAAGGTGGCACAAAACACTAAACTGTCGCAATAAATACCAAATAAAACAGATTCAATGTGTAAATTGATATTGGGGTTAGGGAGCTATACAGTAGGTCATTAAAATGAGCTAACCAAGCTCCGGTAATCCCATGTTTTAATTTTCCGGCCACATAAGAGGATCCTATGCAAACGTTTGTTACTGATATCAAATGAGTAAATGTAGTTGTAAGAAATTATTTCAATGGGATTCTAGCAAAGCAGTGGCACAGGCAAAATACGGTTCGCAAGTATGAATGTCGGTGAGTAGTTTTATCAAAAAAGCATCAAATCAACTAGTAAATATGAGGCTGAATGAGTTGCACTAATTAATGCAAAATAGGCTGTAAAATAGGGTTCAACTTGGGTTGAGAATGAGAATTGATTAGTTCAAGCTTCAGATAGAGGTCAAGGTTATCAGGACAAACCTAAGGTTTCTGAAGAAACGAAGTACTCCCCACGTATAAAAATTACTTACTAGGCTTACATTAAGCTGAATTTATTGGTTGATTATTAACTTGTGTGTTGCCTTTATTCGGTGCTTGAAATCGGACAAGTAAATAAATCCGCTCAGACATGTAGTGCTGATAATTGGCTAAGTTTGTGTTTATTTTTCAAGCCTTATTTGGAAATGAGCCTCACTTATGGTAAAACCCTTCATAGTTGAAAAGAACTTGAATTCGCAAAGACAGACTGGGCTTCTTGTTAAACTAGGGGTACATGCCCCGGGCACCCCTTGGTGTTCGACAAAGAAGGAGTCCACACGGTTTGCAGCTGAAAAGTTTACTCTCCTTCCAGGACGATACACACCTGAGGACTACCGGCCCTCACAACTCCTCTACTCCGACCAGAAGGCATTCGAAACTGGAAACGGAGGTCACAATGGGACAGCCATGGGGACAGGAGTGCTTCCGCAGTCGACGGTATCCTTCACCACGCAAATGTCCCTCGAAGCTTTCACCGAGCACATAACCGAAGCAGCCGTCCACCTAAACGACTGCCGACAACGGGTGAGTTCACGTTCCATGAAGAAGACTACTTGCCACGTAGGGAAAAATCCCACCCAACATTAATTGGTTCGCGATGGCGTTCCACGCAAGGTAGAAATTTCGGCAGATTTGGTGGATGTCTCATGACAAACTTTGTGGTCTTGAGTGACTAAATATGAAGTCAATTTTCCAAAAATCCTGAATCCAACATTCAGGATGTTTGTAACAAACTGTTTGCTGATGAATTTATTGCAAAATTTAGAGTCAAATATCATAAACAATTCATGGTTCTGATTCAAATGCTGCGCGTAAAAATACGCGCAAATCCCAAAAATGGAAAATTGGAAGCATAACCACCCACTACCATCATCACTGCTAGATAGAACACTAACCCTTAAAAAACACCTGTGACACCGATCTTCCAACAGACCATCACCTACTTTGCTTCTGGCCACCCACACTACTCCGTTTCACAACCGAAAACAATTCACCATGCACGCGGTCACTGTCGGATTTCCAACAAATGGGTCCTAGTGTGAGTCTTCGCCGTTTGGTCCAACATCCGCAAATCCAAAGCGGATTCATTACACTAGCCACCGACTGACGATAGCTCTAGCCTGTAAAAATTCATCACGGCTCCAACCCACCCTACCACCACCACCGACATCAACTTCAGCATTACCATCATTCAAGAGAGAACACAGGGCCCGAATTAACCTAGGTCGCGCCGATCTTCCTACAGACCACTCTCGCACACACCTACACACGAGGAGCGTCACTTGAATCCACATTGGACCACTTTGCATGCCTTCACAGTGCGTCGTTTCCACTGCACCAGGCTACTCACACCTTCGCCAAGCCACGCCACGCCACATCACGTCACGCCACTTGTGCCCCTCAAACTGGGAGTGCGTTCCGCACCCCGTAAGTCGCAATGACTGATCTTGCAGAAGTAGCCAACAACCACACCTATTTGAAGAAGGGCCTGCGCATAAAAACACTGTCAGTGTGGGTTGGCGTCGGCTTGGGTGCAGACTCCGTGGGACAAGTGACCTGACGTGAACAAACCACAGCTTGGTTTGGCACCTCGTCGACGAAGCAACCGATCCAAGTGCATCGCACACGGTGATGCTGTGGAGTCGTGGTCGAGGACACAGTGAGCCAATTCCGAGCACGGTCGAATTATTGCGGTCTGCGATCAGGCACTTGGTCCTTGAGCAGCCTGTCTTTTTCCATCGGCAACTACGCGTCGGCTGTCTTTAAATTGAATGAATGTTTCCGGTGGGCGAAATGCCACTGCCTCCTAGTGGCCCTCGACACCACATCAAGGCCATGCATGAAAGCTGATCGCTTACGAGGAGGTCGGCTGCACTGGAAGGGATAGGCATGGCATGGTGTGACCCAGACAAATGGATGCGGTGGAGACAGGACGGTGGTGACTGCGGAGGTGAAGGTCCGAATGCCACCTCAACTAGGCCACATGTACTCCGAACAAGTTATCGTGATAGATGGTGTGAGAAATCGAGCTCCACGTGCACTTTACGAAAAAGAAGCCCTTCGAGAAATGTGCTTCCCACCTCCACGTGACGACGTTTTGGTTTTTCACTGACACGTGGTCTACGTGCTCGCTGGAGGTGTCAAGAGGCGATGCATTAAATAAGATACGCCAATGCAAATTCTGCCAGGCTAACTGTTTTGCGAAGTAGTATTGACACTTCCAACAGCCTCCGATTTGAGTCAAGTAATATTGTTTTTCACAACTTGCCTTGTCCTATTAAATTGAAAGGAGTAAATTTGAATTCGCTTTGGCATAAATTCAGTGCAACCATTGCAACGTTTGCTCCTATTCTTTGCCATCGAAAATACATAAGGTCAAATTCATTGATTTTACAGGCCACTAGTAACTTCTTCCTTGAACGTGACCTGTCGGCACCTGCGATCTGGGCACATATGATGACGCAGTTTGAGGCTCATGCCCACCAGGTCATTAGGTTTGCTCGAGCTATTCCCGGTTTCCGTGATCTCCCGAGAGCAGACACGAAGTTCCTGGTGCAAGCGTCCATGTACCCGATTGTCCTCGTTCAACTAGCCCGTGAGCCTCTGCCCGGCGGTGACATCAACTTCTACAACTTTACCCCTCGCGAAAGGCGACACCTGCTTGCTGAGTTTCCCCAGCTCAATCGCTTGGCTGACCACTTCTACGAGCTCACAGGCTTTCTCGGGCCGATGAACTTGGACAATACTGAAGCCGCCTTGCTGTGCAGCATCATCTTTCTTCGTGGTTGTAAGTGTCTCCCTTTAACTCGAGCTCGTGTGTCTTACTAACACGTCTGCGTTTTTCGCCCAAACTAACTGCAGCCACTAGAAGTGTGCTTAATAAAAAAAACACAGCGGGTAACGCTGCCTGACCAAACCAGATTGATTCGTCCTATTTAAGCAACATGAAATTTCCCATCCATATGGGAACAAACGTTTGCAGTAGGTGCGATTGGCATGGCGATCATTCACCTTGATTGCAACGTTCCTAGGATTTGGTAAAGGCTAAAAACATGTTTCCAAATAGTTTGTGAAATATACTAGAATAACTTCCAGGGTTTTCCTTGGATTAATCTGACAACAATATTTAAGGTTGGGAATTAAATCAGTCCAATATTAATATTGCGAATTGACCTTCTTCTAAAGAAATCGTCGTAGGGTCGGAGGTAGGGCTCAAATTAACTTCATCAAAGAGCTTTGCTAACATTGGTCTGAATTAAGTTGCTTATCCCTGCTCTAGGCTTTGCAGAAAACAACGTAAGGTGTTGTTTTTAAAAATTAGCTAATAATTGGTTTCTGCTTTTTTCTAAAGCGAATCAGAAATTGCTTGAAGCAGAGAAGATTTATGAGATATACAATCATGCCGCCTCGGCTCTTCAGCAATACATTACCGGTAAGAAATGCTGAACGTAAATATCCCATTGCTAGTATCTTGTTTATTCCTCAGAATTTATAATACTTACAAACACAACAAACAGTAGATTCCAAAGAGTCCACAGAAGGAAGGAATTCTATCTAAACTCTCTGGTACTGTGATGGAGAAGGTGTGTCAGACAAGGCGCCGACGACTGGTCCACCAGTTGTGGGGAATCCGCGGAAGCTGGATTCTTCCGGCAGCTAATTAAGCTAACCCAATTTTGTCAGAACAAAATGCGATAGGATCATAACCGTAAAGGAGGAAAGTCAACTTGAAGAGGCATTGAGAAACACGGAGGGTCTGCTAAGGAGAGAAACGTCAACCCGTGGCAGCAGAGATGCCTCCCTCCCTCGATACACCCAAGAAGCCAAACCGTGAACGCGCATGCACAAGCCTACTTAACTTGAGATTTATTTTAGGCTTATTAAATGCTGCTAGTTAAATTTTGTCGTAAGAAATTACAAACATACATGTCGATAAGTAGTTAATACTCAAGACTGCGAAGGCAGTGTTGGACCAAGACTGGATAACTTTAACTAGGAGACGATGGGTCTTATGAATCTCGGTGCAGTTTAAAATGATTACCGTAAACAGTGAAAAATAAATTAATCAACTGTCGAAATCTCATTTCAAAGCATTGACGTTTTTCTTCCTATCTGCTTAACTAAGATTTCAAAACACACGTTCTACAGTAGTAGGCTTTTGGAAAGAAAATGAGCTAGGTGAAAAACACACCTAAAGCTTTGTGAACAAGTAACTGACAGGGCGCACTTTCGCTTCCATGCACACAATGTGTTTGGCTGATAAAAAGATATAACTGACCTGCTTACTGCTTGATACGTAGAGGCGAACAAGCATCTATTTCGTATTTTAGTGCGTTACACAAGCGATGAGAGGTTCACACACCTGATAAAACTGCTTCCAAGTTTGTCAAGCATGAATGAAACCCACCGAATAGCAGTAAGAGAGTTGCGTCACTCCCGTCCCGATCTTCACTTTCCCGATCTCTTTGTACAAATGTTTCAATTGGATGTTGGTAGCCAATCAAGAGGCGCCGCACCACCGACGGATGTGGTCAGCAGCGGACTGGTTAACGCCAGTGAATGAAACATGTCCCGCATCTCCCCCGCTTGGGCGTCTCGTCAAGAAATTGCATTTCATCTCTTCACTTCTAATGTGTCCACGTTTTTGTTTTAATCTCTGCTGTATTCATACTGCGTGTACATAATCCTTCTCGCTCTGTGTTTGTAGCGCTTGTGCGTCCCGAATATTTTTTCTAGAAATGTTTTTACAATAAATAAGTCATTGCAATTTATTTGACGACTCTCCACCACGGTATGTATTACAAATGATAGATGGGACTGGCAATACTAGCATAGTCATAACTTTTCCAGATTTACTGTGGCACAGCGCTCGCCAGACGATGTCATTTTTAGCCAGCTTTGCAATCTCATAATGCAGGAACTGCAGGCTATGCGCTAGACCTTTAATTTGCGTTCATCTGAGACCCGAACACAATCATCGTGGAACTTTGGGAAGAAACACGCAAGAGGAAGCGAGGAATTTCAGATGCCTTCAGATAGCTGGTTACTATTCTCTCAGATTTGCCGGCTACAAAACATCCGTACTCTTCCAGATCCGTTAGTTCACATCACCAACAATTCATTTGAATGAACGCGAATCAGTCTAGCTCATGCTCTTTGAGGAGAGTATGCTGCGGCCTACTTTCGCTCGGGGTTAGTTATCCTAAAATTTTGTAGTACAGAGTGCAATTTCTGTTTGAAGTCGATGTGTTTCCCAGAGGAGTTCAAGCACTTTTCGGAATGAGCCGCGTGGAACACTTAGCACTTAATTCAACATATTTGACTCTTACAGGGGCAGGGAGCTCGCTGAGCATCACACCGTGGGCTGTGACCCGCACCACAACAACTCAATTCCCCACCCATTTGAACTCATTGCAGCGCGCACACACACCTGGTGTTGCTACTATGGGCCCCTTATTTGCCAAATGCCTATTCGGTCGCGTTTACGTTTGGTTAACATACACAGGTACAAAGTGCGTTCCCAGTTAAATCCATTACAGCGCAATACAGACAACCAGGTTTCCGTTGAATATCCACTGAGAAATCACCGCATTTCACACTTGAAAGCCCTCCTGCTGTCCGCAATGACCCAAAATTCAGTCCTCTAAATGTTGATGGTTGGAAAACGTGGTTAGGGTACTTCTCGATGTTACTGTAAGAGCCGGCATATTTATTAGCACATACCCCATTGTGGTTGATAATCACCTTTGAAAGATCATACACAACAGAAAAATCACACTCTTCGGCGGAATGTTTAATTAAATTACCCGTAATGAAGGGAAATTAGTAATGCAAAATGCCGAAGAAAAGAAGGGAACAAATAACTGACAACAGAGAAGACAGTGGGCAGGATTGGACGCATTCATTTTACACGAGTGGAGGTTATTAGGGAAAGCGCAAAAAATTAAGATCAGAGAGGTGAGAGGGTAATGACAATGCGAATCATGAGAATTAATTGGAGAGGATCCCGTGGAATGCTTCCCTCACGTAGGGGTAAACGTCCATCGCCCTGGACTTCAGAGATAGCTAAAACATAAAGACCGATGAAGCATGAAGCGTTACTCGAACAAAGACGACGGACAATAGCCAGAGGTGACAAACAGGGAGGATCAGGAATAACCCCACCAGTTGTGCTTGACGGATCCAACAAATAAGTTGTAAGCATCATTCAATGGAACTGGAATTCAAAGTACCACCACAAGAAGAGAAACGGTCTAGTTAAAATTTGGGTTGAATTTATCAAAATTCAGGAACTATTGGTCCCTGTAAAGCTAAGTGGCCAGTACCAAATATATCCTGGAACAGTAGGTTGAACTCAAGCCCTGGTCTTAAAGTGTGCTTCAAATTTAATATAAATCTAAGGTAAAAATTTAATGCTGTCAGAAGAAAAAAAACGTGAGACCGAACATCTGCATGAATATTAAAGTAGGCTGCTTAGTTCTCCATAATGACCAAAAAGCAAACAGAATGAGGGCGAGTCTGACAAGTCTGCATTTATCAAGTAATGGCTATAATTGTGGGTTGCGGAGGATTGAAAACACCAAAATCGATCTGATTTGCCAGATTTAAAATTAAAATAGCTTTCGTAATATGTTTACACAATCTGAGTATGACAAGCATACGACCATAAAAGACATTTTGGACTGCAAGGAGCGCACTTACAGTGTATGATGGATTTCCAGGTTGAATCTTTAATTCCGCAAGGACCCAAATTCCGTTACACAGTTTGATGGACTGGTAGAGCATGTCCTGCCCGTCAACATTGCGTTTGGCGATCGTAAACACATTGTTGTTACGCAGTTTCTGGGAGCATGTGTCTAAATTTTGACCATAATAAAGTTACTCTTTGTCCAGATGCCGAACATTAGCACAGTGGCACACAAAAAGGGAACTCACCGGCGTCCAGGGAGAGAGGAGTCAAAACGAATTGTTGTTCGTTTTCTGCAGGGATATCCTTCCACGTGGCGAGGAACACCATCTTCTCCATCTCACCGACAGATGTGAAAAGTACATGGATGGGCACAAGGCAAGCGAAATAGAAGACATCGACATTGTTTTTCACTGCGACCTTTACAGGGGGTGGCAAATAGGATTAAACACATATTTCCACAATGGATTCAACCAAGGGATCGTCAGAGGCGGCTAGACATGGCACATAAAGTGTACCAGAAGTGAGATCATTTACACTTGGAATGCAATTCCTTTTTCATATGATTTATGGTCAACTACATAACATGAAAGTTCCAATAACACAATAACCTTCTTTGAAAGTAAATATTAATATATCACATATTTGGGCTTAACTAAGAACCCAGGAACATAGGCTTTTCTGGAGTATAAGATAGGAATTGTAGTAGTGAATGAACATAGAAAGTAGTACTGGCAATTCAAAAGATTCTGCCAAGCTTCAAAAGCGTTGAAACTTTTAGTTGCGATGCTTTTATAGAAAACGGATACATGAACGTGTTGTGACGGTTCATTTGTAACCGCCACCATACACTAACTGACGTAAGTCCGGAATACCTTAAGATTGGTCAACGTCCAGCATTTAAACACCAACTACGACGAGTAATCTGTCTACTTAAAACAATTGAAGCAAGGATCCGCGAAAAAGAAAAGAAGAAAAACCTACTTGTAAGTTCATAAGCGGGTCCATCTTTACCACCTGATTGCCAAATCCCAGAGGCAGAATCACTTTAACTGACTGTTTGGGTTGCAAGGGAGTAGGCACATTAAGAGCTTGCGCAGGGGCAAGTCCGAAACTATTCTTATTGAATTGGATAGCGAACCCAGTCATTGGGGAAAGTGCATTGTTTGTGAGGGTCAGTTCCATTTGTGGTTGGTTGGTTGCGGTATTCACACTGAATGTGCCTGCAATTTCAAGGCCCTTGCCGCGCGAGGATTCTAACCAAATAGCGGGTGCGGGAACGTAGGCTGAAGAGGCGACCGAGGTCATACCTGCAGGGGCTATGTCACGGCTAGTGGCAGCAGCACCCAAGGATCCTCCCCCACCAATACCTACGCCTCCAAAGATATCGGCCAAAGCATCGGCAGTGGACGAGGGTTCAGACGTGCCTTGATAAAGACAAGCAAAATCTCAATAATACTATCAACATTAGACGGGGATAATGCAATTACTTCCGACCCCAGATTCTACAACTACCTAAAAATATGTGAGCGCATCGTTCAGAAAATGAAAGTATAAAATAACAAACTGCGATAGCCGAAAATTTATAATATTTAGGCTGCGTCGCACATACTTAGGGCTGTGGCTGTGAGCATTCAGTAGGCTAAACTGACTAAAACAAGTGGCACGAATGTTATGATAGGCTTCAAGCACTTGGCTAACAATTAGTTGTCGGCATATTTTTTGGTGCTGTCGACTTCATCATTGTGTCAGAAAGAACTCCTAGTGATGGAATATTTGGTGAAAAAGAGGGAAATAAACTTGAGGACATTAGAGTGAGGAATCATGAAGCTCGTTACAGAAGGAAATCGAGTGCCTCGTACGGACATTTCCAACAGCAAAGAACCTAACGTGTTTAGATATGCTAACTAACCGATTGGGGTAGGAGGTACACTCCTCGGAATGACGCCAGGGAGGAGGTCATCAAGACCATCTCCAAGGAGATCTGGGGCATCCATTTCTAGACCGGGGATAGCAGAACCAGTGTATCCGACTGGTGGCGCCATAGATGGGTTTGGCATAGCGTCGATGTCCAAGAGATCTCCAATCAGAGTCTCCTGCGTGGGAATAACCGTTTGAGTCGGTGGTTGAATCCCACTAGCATCGTCAGTTCTACCGGCAGTTGTAGATGCATTAAAAAGCTGTTTACGAGAAATATGCTTCCCTTCCACAAATGCACTTGGGGGCTGGTGATAAACACTAGCTAAGCTGCCGAGATTACAAATTAATTCATCCAATAATGACGGCTCAAGCAAGTCAGTCTCTTCTGAAATCAAGGGCTTCTCAGCAAGGACAACTTCCTTTGCCACGGCAGGGTCCGTTGACAGAAGGCGCCAGTAGATGTAGCCACGATCGCGCAGATCAGGGTTATCTGATTCAAGAGTGGCCAAGCCTAAGACGTTTTGAACAAGCTCCTATACAATACATATAGGTATGAGTCAGTGAGTGTAATAACAGCAACTGTCTTTTCAGGTTTACATACCTGAGTGTCAGATGGTCGCTTGAGGAAAAGCTTTACGATAGCAGTGAGAAGCTGGAGTTGAACTTGTGTGTTCTCGTCATGGAATCCATCCAGAAAAGACTGCAGCAGTTCGTCAGCATTGTCGATACGTTCTGCGTATTCACCGATAATCCAAATCATTGAGGCACGGGCTTCCGGTTCGTCTAGAGTATCCAAGTTCTCGCAAAGATTTGCAATAATGCTTTCATACTTGTTTGGATATTTACGAAAAATGTCCTAGAGAGAGGCACCTCGAATAACATAAATTTAACTCACTTTAATTACAACTATAGCTTCCTGAACAACGTAGTTGACTTTGGTATTGATAAGCTCAACAAGCGTGCTTACGCAACGCTCGGCGGAAGCTTCAACTTTGATAGCACATCGACCAATTGCACGTACGGCCTTACGCACAAAATCAACATCCACTTCTTTCGCATATTCTTTCAGTTCTGCAAGTACGTGCGTAATATTAGCTTGATTTGTCAGCCTGATCATAATATCAAGTTTTTCCAGCTTCACATAAATGGGGTCATTGTACTTCACGAAAAAGGCCTAGGGTTGGTAAGACAACTCTCAGAACAAAAGTCTAACATACTTTGATCTCCTGCTTTAAAATATCCTTGTTCTTTTGAGAAATAAGGTTTATATTTCGTAGAGCAACGTACTGGATCTCAGGTTCAGCAGAAAGTAGGGTCACCAGGGGTGGTGCTAACTTTTTTGAGGTAATTTGGGCCAAATCGGATTCTGGGTCAATGAATCCAAGGGTTCGAATGATAACCTTAACAGCAGATAAGACAACAGCAGAATTAGCATGCTGCAGACGGGGCATCACACGTTCAACGATACCACGAGCCTCTCGTTCATCTGAGGGAGAGTATTCAGCAATGGCATCAAGAATGAATACCTGGCCCCACCTGGAATACAAAGCATTTTAACGTTAGCAAAATACAAGGCTCTTTAAAGGTAAGAATCATGACATCCTATTAAGTTAGAGATAAAAAAAACTTACTCGTTGCATTCATTTAAGGCGGTAAGAAGTTTGTTTACGACATTTTGGTCAATTTTTAGCATATTCACGGCAGCCTCCGACTGGGATGTTTCCAATATCTCAGAAATAGCAGCCACAGCATTAGTAACAACCATAGGGTTGCTGTCACTCAATAAATCCTTTAAAAGTTCCAGGAATCCATTATCTTCAACCAATACTGGATCGATATCATAGAGCTTTGCAACGCAAATCGCAGCGGTTTTGCGAACGTATGGATCCTCATCCTTTAGACATTTCCGCAAAGGATCACAATAGTATGCTGTAATCTTTTCGACTCGAATACAGCCCATAGTCCTCACGGCCAAAGCTCGGATCAGCGGATTAGGATCGTCACAATCCTAAAATGAATTATGTATGCAGAAATCGTACCCGAACGAAGGTGCTAACTGTCATTATTGATGTATCCGGCTGCGTTTTAGCATAATTCATAAGATACAGGTAAACCAGCTTTTTAAGTTCTAGATTATCAGTTTGCATACAATTCATCACATCCGGAAACAACGCACTGAAATCATTTTAATGCATGCCATAGTACCTAACATCCTTGCCAACAGTCATACTAGCTATGACCTTTTTAACAGCTTCCTTTTTTTTCTCCTTTTTTTCATTCTGAAGCTCAGCCTTCAGTTCGAAAATTTCGCCTTTCTTTGTAGTCGTGAAATACTTTGAATCAGTCGTTTTCGCTTGTGTTGTAACTTTTTGAAACCATGGCCTGTAGTAATTATTTAAAAAGTTCATTTAAAATTACTTTATGTTCCCAAGCGTATCTGTAACAGAAGCAGCAACGTTCTGCATTGCAAAATAACTCGAACAACTCGGGTACGTCGAAGAAGGCGCAATGACAATGGCTGATTTAAATACAACATCATATAAATGAGAACTAACGTAATTACTCTTGGTCAAGCAGCAAAGGTACTAAAACCATTTCATTGTTGGTGATAAGCGGTTTTACAATGCAATCTAGCATTAAATGAACACAGGTCAATTACATTTAAGTGATTCATAGCAATTAGGATGCGCTGGGTTACACTCATGGAAAACTATTTCGCACCCTTTGGTAATTTATTATTCTATAGCTTTTGTAAGTTGTTAAAAGATTTCAGGAAAGATATACGGTTATTTTGCATATTAAGGCAACATGACCTAATTCCGATGCCTTCCAAAGGTTGCGGAAGCAATTGCTTATTTGACCCGGTGTTTTCGAGCTTATGCAATCGTTAAAAGACCTAAACTTGATGTTTCATATTTATCTATGATGTAACTAACACTTTAAATTGGTCTAGATATTTTAATAGCTAATTTACACGACATTGTCTTCCATTCTAGCAAGTGTAATCGGAGTCCTGCGTAGGACACCGGCTTGAAAGTGACATCGATGTTGCCGAAATATGTATACCCGATAGATATCCACAGTTTTATTAACATATCTTAATTCTTAAAATTCCTGATGGAGAGATGAGTGCCATAGTGAACTTGTTTACACACTAGACTCTAGTGTTTCGGCCATTTTTAGTAATAACTCCATATTTGCATCTACATATAAAAAAAACTAACAAAAAGCGGATTATGCCATTTGCATCAAATTAATTTTCCATACCTTTTAAGATGGTCTGCACTGTTTCCTTGATTTAGTTTCGAGCAGAGAGGCGCACAATTTTACAAACCATTCTAACTAATTTTGCTTAATTATTTCATTTTAGAATTGCAAATCCGGTCTTAATATTGCGCTGATATAATGCTTTTATCAGTATATTAGCCATTTACAAGCTTTAAAGGCTTTTTGATAACTAAATTTCTGTTAAGTCAATTGTTTTATCGCAATAGGGTGATATTTATCAATTAGACTCTCGAATTTGCTACATTTGCTAACCAGTAAATGTTCAACTACGTTTCTTTCAGGTAAGATACTCCAAGGAGATTAGTAGTGTTTTGTAACTCGTGTGGTGAATCGTGTTGATTGACGTTTATTTTTCTTTTCGTCGCATTCAAAGATACACTGTCCCCATTACACGGCTTGCCCATCAGCCATAAGAAAGTCTGTCTGCACATGTACTACACTATTCACCTTATCGGTCGAACCATTCGGACGCTTGCAAGTTAGCTAGGTTACCTGAATTATATTAGTCATCAACAAAAGCAACACGCACCGAAAAAATTTCACTGAGTCACACAGTAAATGGTTATGACTCGCACTCTCCAATATTCGTAATCTTAGCGGTTAACCATGTTAGCGTAATCAGGCTATATTTATTGCATGTTATATAAAGTTAGGCAAACAGCAAATCCCATTTAGCATCTTGAGTGAGCACAGAAATTTTAACGGGAATAATGTTGAAATTTATAATTCTCAGCATTTTGCCCTAAATGTCTACACAAATGGTATTAGTTAATCTATTTATAAAAAAATTCAGTTAGAAATTGCAAAATATTTTTAAAAGTATTATTTGCTTTGAAATTTGCGTACGTTAACAAAAATGGATTGTTCCTTGTTTGCAGTTTTTCTGTGTGAACCGCTGGTCTCGAATTCTAGTGGCTCGTGGTTGGGTTGGTCTAGATCGTTCGTCGTGTTTTTTTATTCTCGCTGCAGAATATGGTGGCAGATAGGGAATGTAGTTTTTCGATGCTTTGGGAATTCGTCGAACAGCTGAAAAATAATGCATTTGACTTTGATAAATTTGCAGAAATGCTCGTTTCTAGGTAAATGTTGTGGCTAAATGTTCATAGCCAACCACAGTTCAGTTTCTCCTTTCAGTATACTGGAAACTTTCCTCAACGCTTACATCCAAAACAATTTTATTGGACCGCCATCTGATATCCCATGTGACACTTCTGAAATTGATAAGTGTGCTATTGATCATTTGTCTGTCGATGGGGAAACCCCATTTACGCTTGCACGCTACCCCTCTTTGCTGTGGATTTGTAAGAAATTTTCTCGTTATATGCTTAAAACTTCAAAGATCCTGGTAAGGCTGTATCCTTGTCTAAAGCACAGAAATTCTCTTATGTCGTATTTTTTCTGAAATCGATATATCTGCACCAAATTCTGTTAGGCGATACGCGATGTCCTTCAATCAAGACAGAATTTGATGAACTTTTAAGTGAAGGTATCTTTCATCACTTTGAGTAAATAGTTAGTTGAACTCGATGAACTTCAGCCAGATTTCGACCAGTTATCTTTCTCATTTGTCCAACTTGGTAGTTATTTGGCCGTATTCTATTATGACTTTAAACTGGCAGACCAGTTTAAAAAATTGGCCGAAAAAATGCTGGGTTTGACTGTTGATTTCTCAGGTATGCTGTTACTAAGCTACACTTCTTTAGCTATACTTGGGACTAGAACAAAAGCCCAAGAGAACCCGCTACCGCAGCTCGTTGTTTGCATCAAACGGAATTCAGACAAAAATTTGTTTCATTTGCCGCCAAATGAGTCTACTGCTCAGCCAAAAGTAGGTCCCATCTTTTATTCTGTAACAGAATTACAGATATGCCCTTTAGAAGATGATAATTTGTTGGACTTCATTAATTTCACAGATGATACAGAACTACGCCACGGGCTTTCAGTTTCTGAACAGGCGTTTGTCTTATGTTGCGGGTACGTTCTTGTGCACCATTCACATTACCGTCTATTGACTGATAGAGACATCCACCGCCTGTCCCATCCACATGATGACTTAACTGATGAGCAGTCGCTTGCATTCGTAACTGCCATCATTCGCTCTGTTTCGACTGAAATCGAAGAAAAATCAAACAATATTGGCGAACCGGAAAATTCTAAATTCACCTCAGTCTCGTGGCCCTTGCTTACTGAAGCTTTGTTTAAACGGGGGTCTTTGGAGAAACGTTCCTTTGCTCGTGTCGAGAGGGCTCTCCGACAAATGGAGGAACTCACTAATCAGTTCTCAGCTAAGACGCCTGAGGTAGAACGAAGGGGCTTGGAGCACTTTTTCTGGTCACGAATGCCCGCTTGTTGGCAAATCGAGGTTAGAGGTTATTGTGGGCCATTCAAACGCGCTTTAGCTTTCGCACGCTAAACTTCTCACAAGAATCGGGTCAACCAAAAGTGCTCTCGATATTTACCTCCGCTGGCAACAATGGGATGATATCATCGCATCATATACGGCACTTGGTAAACGAGATCTGGTGAGTTTAATGTCTGTGTATTTTCACCGCGGTTAGCTTTTATTTACTGTCTACTTGCCCTCATTTATAGGCTGAAAAAGTCATCCGTGAACGTATTGCAAGCGGACACGAGACTCCAGATCTCTACTGCTGTCTTGGTGATGTGACTGGAGATCGATCACATTACGAAACTGCTTGGGAGCATTCCAAACATAGATCGGCCAGAGCCGTCCGGACTCTTGGATACCTTGCTTTCAAACTAGACAAGGTTTTTTACTAACGATTTGGTTGACCACCGCGCTAAACCGGTTATTTTATCTCCTTCCTTTGTAGGATTTAACCAAAGCCGCAGAATACTTTGAAACTTCCCTCCTTCTCAACCGATTCCAGGCATGCAAACATTTTTTAAAGCCCATTTTTAAATTTATAACAAAAATTCCATTTTTATTCCCATATAGGTTAACCTATGGTTTACACTCGGGTGTTGTTATCTTCAACTTCGCGATTTCCCAAAATCCGAAAGGGCTTTTAGATTCTGTGTTACGCTTGAACCTGACGTAAGTCAAAATATTTGCTATTCGTGAAGCGTGAATATAAGAACCAACTGGTCCGCCCTTTGGTTTCGTAATGCAACCTAGGGGGCAATATGCTTTCTTTCACGAACTCGTCTGGTGTTTTGTTAAAGGAATAGTAATAGTGTGAGGGTTTTAGGGTCTATACACTTTTCTTAGATATTTCGTCAAACATGTTGAGGGGTTCATTCCATTTTTACATTAGATCAAACCATCATTCATGTTCGACTGTTATTAGGTGGTCGTGGATTTCTTTATGACTGCAAAAAAAGTGGAGACCCTCTATTTTCTTCAAATCCAAGTTACTCATCGTAAACAAAAGCCCCTACATTCGCCGGTCGCTCGTAATATTGTAATACACATTATTCGAATTTGTAGAACTTTGAAGCGTGGAATAACCTTGCTAGCGCAGTGATATTCAGCGGACGCAGGTACTTACTTACTTGTCTTGAATCTTTTTTAGTAATGTAAATACTTTGCAAGTTGTTGATTGTTGCATCCTACCTTAGTAGTATCATGTTTGAAAAGAGCCCTGAGGCTAATAATTTATGCTGCTCATATTTTCTGTCTTTGGTTTAAAACTTGGACCGATGCTCTTTAGAGTGCTGTAGTCACCTTGAAAGTTGTGGCGATTTTCTAGAGGTGAAACCAAGGCTTAAAGCTCTCCTGCCGATGTCGCACATAGACTTCCGCAAGTATCGGCAATGTATATGAAAGGCGGACATATTAATTCCTCAAATCTTTGATGTATATTTGGTTGAAGCTGATCTGCATTCAACGCGTTTTGTATTTGAGCTAGTTGCACTGCAGAACATGCATGGGAACAGTTAACATTTCCTGGTTAATTTCTCATACTTGCTTGCATGTATTCATTGCTTTAGGTCGCAGGCTCTTACCTTGCTCAAAGAAGCTACCAAGTGGAACTATGAGTCATGGAGGATTTGGGAAAACATACTATTGGTATGCGTCTGTCGATTGTTTCAGTCTTATTTCCTCCCGCAATACCTGATGTGTTCTCTTGAGGACTAACTCGTTAGCCTATTAAAAGTATGTTCACATGTAGAAGGCATTCAGTATCTACGTAGCGCCTCAACTAGTTGATCCATAAAACATTAAAAACCGTTTCCATTACTATCTATGCATAAGAGCATAATCCAAACGGAATCCATGTTTTGTATGCTAGTCGTTAATAGTCGAACATCTAACACTTCATTTATTTTGCCATTACTCTGTACCGACCGTATCGTAATTGTTTGCAGCCTTTGACCCAAATCAGTTTTAAACTCGGATAACCAAAGAGTGGGTTCTTTGTCGAGCTTTTGCATGTTTTTTTCGACTCACTGCGTACTTCACTGCAGTCCAGTTATGTACGCAACGCGCATTTCCGATTTTAGGTCGCCGTAGACGAAGGCGCTTTTGGGGACGCAATAACTGCCTATCACCGACTAATTGACTTGCGCCAGAAGCACACCGATCCCCAGGTTCTTGGAATGCTTACAAAGGCAGTTTGTGAAAACCTGCCTGATAATGCCAACAATGGAGCTGCTAGACATTTTGAAAAACTTCTCGTTCTCTTTGGTCGTGCCACAGCTACGGTGAGTGGTTTAGCCCTTACTTGATGGCTGTCCTTTTTTTATCCAATCACTCAAAAGAACACACCCGTGATTACTTTTACACAAGGCAATGGAAACCCATTGTTGGCCGCTTTCTTTTAACACCATGCGCATGAGCTGTAATTGGAGGCCTTCCGTTTGCGTCATAATAGGTTATCTTGCCTTGCTCTCTTGCAGAATCCGTCAGATGCTGATACTTGGCGACACTATGCGACTCTTATTCTCAATGGAACTGTTAAATTGGACGCGGTTATGTACCAGCGGGTAATCCTTGTTTCCCTATTACAAACGGCTCCAGATCCACCAAGTTACAACTGGCCATTTCTTGTTTTTTTTTTTTAACTGGCATAACAGCTTTCCTTTATACGCTCCATGTTTTGGGTTGACGGTTTATGACTTAGAAATATGCCGTGTGTTTTGACGATGAATGCTTGTCGGAACCGCATATTTCATTTTCGTCCGTTCAAAACCATTGAATCGTTTCACGGTACTATCGTAGTTATGCCCAAGGATTCTTTGTCTTAACTGACCCCAAGCCCCTGCTTGGGTGCAGTCTCGTTTTTTTAGTCAAAGGTGTGGCTGGTGCTTATATGGCACCTAGCTATCTCTTCTCCTCTAAACCTGACAGCCAGTCGAGGTTCGGTTTCTCGGCTTGGCGGGGGGATTTTCACAATGGCTCAATTCAGAAACGCGATGCGTTGCAGCAATCAAAGAAGTCAAACTTCTTTTTATTTCGATGGAAACGGAGACAGCATGAGGTGGATGTGTAAACGTATTTTTGACCAACACAAGTGTGATTGCGTTGCTTATAGCTGTATGGAAGTCATATAACTACAAATGCATAACTTTAGATTGCCTATTGTGGTAAGCGATTATCAGGCACCTGTCGGAGATTTCTCGTAAAAATCTATAAACAGAAGTTATGTGTGAGCGTTAAGTTATGTATTCTCAGCGTAAAGTGATCTGTACTGTTTTTTTCGAAATGACAAACATGATCAGTAAGCAATTACCCTGCCAAAGCAACTTCCGCTTGAACTGTTTCTGATGGAGCATTAAGTCACTTTCTAACTTATTTCCCTTAAAGGCAGTCCAGTGTCTTCAGAAGTGCTATCAATGTCGTCTTCGAGCGGCGGCCAAAGGCTGGGAGTTGGATAAGAAGGCACGGGGTGATCTTCTTGGAGATCTGCAGGCCTTGTCAAAGGTCCTCCTTTCCAATAGCATTCCAACCGAGCCCGAAACAGAAACATTTTTGAAATCTGCCCTTTCTTCTCTTCGACTAAGTCTTAACACGTTTTCCTCGCGCCTCAAGGTTCGTTACGTCTCTGTTGAATAACTTCCAGTGCTTAATATTTAAATATCTGCCCTGTTCCATCCTAATCCCGCTTTAATTTCTTTTCAGTTGGCTATGAATGAATGTTTTACTCCTGCGATCCAGGATGACCTCTTGCACGATTCTTCAACAGTGGCAGAACTTCGTTGCACTGCAGATAATGCCCTTAACGCCTGAGAAGTCGCAGTTTTTTGTGACATTATCAATGGTACTTTTGTAAATCACAATATCATGTAAAATAAGATATTTGATTTTTCAAATCAGTCTTTTGGAGTGATGGGTTTACTACAAATCTCGGGTGCCTCTGATCGAGTATGTCTCGTAGTAATGTCAATTATGCGCCTGGTATTCTGGTAATAAACGCTTTAATTATGCAAAACTCTGACATCATCCACCACGGTCATGTTAATAGTTGTGCGTTTTTTTATCTTGTACGCGAGCCGCGGGGTAACCGCGTGTATGTTACTAGTGTAGTAAGCGGTAATTAGCCCAGTAGCATTGTGTTAAGTCCAATTCCCCTTTTATTGATTTAGTTTTATGACTTCTATTATATTCACCCAATTCCTATGCAGTAGTTTTGCCCTCAAATGGAATATGTGTTCCCCCGTTGATAACCTCTTAAGTGTAGCAGCCCCCATTAGAGTCACTCCTCATTGGCTCGCTTCAGATGCATGCATAACTACTTTTCCAAATCCGTATTTGGGGCAATTCGCTATACATTATTTAGACGTAGTGTTTCACTTGTCAAGGTTACATGTCGTAAACTTAGTTTAAATCCAATAAATGAAGTGGCAGCATAAATTGTCCTTTCTGATCCATGACGACTGCAAGAAGAATGGTGTTTTAAGAAAGTGTGCTAATAAATTTATGGTTTAAATTGCTATCCCATAATACTAAAATATATTTGAAAAATAAATTGAATAATGTTCTATCAACGCAATTCCGATATTTATTTTCTTCACCGAATCAAGAATTGTCAAGGTATTTCTAAGTGTGTACCAAGTGGTCAGAGCTCTCATTTCTAACTTGGTCAAGTTGTCGTTCCTTCATCTTGCCTCCACCTTTCAAAACTGTGAACAGCGGTTTATCGATGTGTTGTATGACTTCTTCAGTAAGTTAACTGCTCTAAGCAAGTGCCGAGTTCTTGCTAGCCTTGGACAAATAAATCGCCGGTATGATGTGGTTATTGGCTAACACTACATAAATACCTTGTGATTTGTTCCTGAGGACGATGTCGCCTGTTGAATGAAGCGGAAATTTGCGTAGGTTCATGTTAATACAGTAAAAACCAAATAATACCTGGAAGAACTGTGAAGAATTAAGACCTTGTCTAGCGATCGAAATTAATTCAAACTGACTACACAACTGGCACGATCATTAGGCAAAACTCGCGACACTTGCCTTGTAGTATTTGTAATTAGTTGCTCCTCAAGTCTGTGCTCCACCGTCTATTGGAGAAACAATTGCACAAAACGCAATGTCGAATGGACGTAACTTATGCCAATTAGCCTCAATTTGTCAACTTGGGTTTTAGCACGTTCTGGGTTTTTAGGTGTCGGTTACTAGCTCTGATTAAAATTGCTATCCATATAGCATTCTACTCACTGTACTAATGGCTCTTAGCACCCGTTCGAGCCTCATCACGTTAACAGGGGTGAATTCGAAGTCAAGACGGAGCCTTTACTTGAAACAATCGGTTTTCGGATGTGTGAAAACCAATTTTCTTTTGAGACAACCTGCCGTCTTCACGTTCCCCCTAGTTTATTCATCTCTACTTATTGTGAGTTGTTTGTAGGTCCAAAAACATTAGTATATTAGAGAAAGGTGTACAATGTTTTTCGAACAATGAAGATAGTATAATGGGTTGTAATGCAAACTGTCTGCTTTCTTTGTCTGGCTTCATCTTACTTGTCATTTTTAAGGCAACAGAGAAGATTACGATGCCATTATTTCGTGTAGCAACACGAAAAATACCGTTTCATTGTCATGGTCGCCGTTTCTCTATTGCCAAGTCGTCTTCGTCGATAGATTTTCATCAATTGGATAATGTCAACTTTACCGAACGGATGCGTAAAAATCTGGTCGATCGAAATTCCGATGTAGACTTCAATAACCTGGTACGCCATAATAATCCCCTAAAGCCGTTTTTCTGTCCGTAGGCACTTAAAATAGGCCTAATTTTGCTCTTTAGTTGTCGATTTATCGTCGGTTTCAGAACGGTGAAAAAGATCTCCGGCCAAAGTTAGAGCGTCTTTTCCTCTCCCTACCAAATTTTAGTCATCCAGATACTGTGAGTAATATTTGTGTAAATATAATCCACACGGACCCCCTATTAACCCTCTACAATTTTGTAGCCCGTTGGAGACCCAAGCAAATACCGCCTCATCTACCGTCACGGCTCACCAAAGTCGAGTGCGTTTTCGTTTTAATTTTAATTGTACTTATCTTCATAAGTAACTCTGTTGTTTTTCAACATATTCGGTAGTCCCCCAACCGAGAAATGAGGTTGAGCTGCTCTCCAATGGTGTGGTTTCGCACATGCCACGAAAACAGGGACATCAAACGGGTCTTGGCGTGTTGGGGGCTCCCAGGTCTATTGTGGGCGGCTGCGGTCCCCGCTCGTATGCTTTCTTCGGGAGTCTCGCGCGCCTGGAATCTGCACTCATTCAACTCACCCTAGATCGAACCAGACGTGCGGGATTTCGGCTTGTCGTGGTGCCTGACGTGCTTCCTGCATCAGTTATCGAATGCTGTGGGTTTCCGACAAGCGGTGAGCGTAATCAGGTATCATTTCAGTTGTATTTATAAGACATTTAATTATTTGTGTCAAGACAGTCCAACGTGTGGAATATCGCGATGTTAATGTGTTTTGTCCATTTTCATGAGATAACAATTGGTTTGTATTTTTCCTCTAGTAATTATTTAAGCAGGCCGTTATTTGAAAGAGAAATCTCGTACTGCGCCAGTCACACACTACGAATGTGTCATCCTGATGTTAAGTCTACCTTCTTGTCTGTCCTGAGTCCATTCCACTTGTACATTGCCAATGTCCTTACTAGGAGCCACCTGCAGTTGACCCTAGCACATTCATGTATTGATCTATGTGGTATCTGTTTCCTAAATTCAGATTTTTAAAATCGGACGCATGAGTGCAGACGATCCTGCTGTTGGACAGCAGTATTGCTTATCAGGAACAGCGGAAATGGGACTTGCGGGTTTCTGTGCTGACAATGTCTTTGGTGGTGGCGGCGCCGACGCGGAGTTCTTATGTGCGGTCAGCCGCTGCTACCGTCGCGAAATCTCCCCCCAAGAATCCTTGCTTTACCGAACACACCAGTTCACGAAGGTGACTTAATGGACGCAAGACATTTTCCTAATATGTAGAACTATTTCACGATCGTTCTTAGTTTTCCGTGTTTCATACGACTTTAGGTTGAAATATTCTGCGTTGCACGACCTTCCAGGGAAGCTGGCGACAGGACTTTCGACAAAATCATTGACTTTCAATCGCGCCTCTACTCTGACCTCGAATTGCATTTTCGGTGCGTTATTGTTCATCATTGAGGCTGAGCCCTTTGTATAGGTTCCTTAATAGAGAGCTTTGTGGAAGTATGTGGGATGATGTGCCGTTTTGTGGTGCCAGCAGTTACGAATACAAAATGATGGACCGATATTGCCTTGAGCAATCGTTTTGTATAAAAGATGCTATCAGTATTTTGATTTTGTGTTGTGGTTGTCCTACTTATTGTCCGGACCTTGGTTTTCACGATCATTTTCAATGTCTCTTTATTTTAATCTCGTGTTTGGAGGCTTTCAGTAAACGATCATTTAAGCAAACACTTTTAACATGCTAAGTGATGCATTATTTTAAACAAAAAGCACTTTTAGCGTAAATAGTATGAAAATGTCACGAACTTGTGCCAAGCGGGCTCTTCTTACTGAACTACTGGTTTTAATGGCTGACATGTGGAATAAGATTTCGAAGGCATAACAGCAGTGATGTTGAAGTGGGAGATGCATCTCGTGTTCAGCTGCCAGCCAACGCTGACGTGGATTATGCCAAAGCCATAGGAGAGCATTCATTGGCTAAAGAGCTGAATGATTGAGTCGCACATCTCAGTTGTAAGCTCGACAAAATTGCTTGGAGTGTACCTTCGCAGAATGGGGGTAACGGTGGAGGTGAAGGTCTGAATGCGACCTCAACTGAGCCAAATGCACCTCAACGAAATTGTCTGGATCGCACTTCTACGTAGGAGTAAACACCCCAAGGCCACGAGTCAGAGCCTTTTTGCCACCCCTCAACATGGGCAATGGTGGTGCATGCAGACAGAGGGAAACGGGGTGAGCCAGTGGCGAGGACAATAGTAGTCTGTTGTGATAACCCACACAAACAACATTTGTCTGAGATTGCAAGCATATTGCTTTATAAACCATTTGAATTCCGGGTGAATCTAATACATTTATTTTCGGTAGCCCCCTTTTCATCATTATTGTGCAAAAGCCCCTCATCCTGATTCTCTTTTTATCTCCTGCAGTGTTCTAGAAATTCCTACGAGTGAACTCGGTAACCCTGCCCACCGAAAAGTCGATATCGAAGCACTTATGCCTGGTGAAGGAATGTATGGGGAGGTAAGGAAACTTTTTGGTTGCTTCATGAAATATTGTTCAACTCCACGTTAAAATACGTCCATTTTTCGCCGAGTTTCCATGCTTCATTAAGAATCTGTCAACAAGGTTCTAGAAGCACGACTTTTGTCTTGTTTCCGTCTTGTACCTTCTCAGAGCTTTCGTGTACAGGTTGACGTTTAGGCGGTAACCATCAAAATTTCCATTCCAACTCTGTTTACAGCGATGCTAGTATCCGTTTAGGGAGGGCAATCTTCTGAACAAAACTTTTTTTCAAAGTTGACGGGCTCTGCACTTTCAAGAAACCCACCAGACAAGCATTTCACTGAGTTCACGGTATTGTTAGCTGGTGAGGGGTTGTCTTACGGTTATCTGCCGTCCAAATTTAGTGTACATCGGGAACAGGGCGAAGTGCTTTTGTTAAGAAAACCCAATTGTGAACCCTGGTTTATGGAATTGGACGCGATACATTTTGAAACGGCTTCGTCTTCGGATCTTATTGTTACACTACCCTAAAATCGATTTACTTGATCAAGCCACTTTGTGAATTAGTACAGTCTATGGCCAAGTTCATTACGGCTTGGGTTTTATTCAAGGAATTTTTGCTTTAGTGGTATGTGGTTTTCCAGTCAGTATACCCATTATGTATTTTGATTCCTGAAGTTCTACACGATTTTTTTAACCTACATGCAGAAAATGTCTGGCTCCTCATTTCCTTAATTCAGATCTCTAGCACATCCAACTGTACTGATTACCAAGCCGCTAGACTCAATATCCGATGGAAGGAAGACGACGTAGCTGAGGTGAATCCGTTTGCCTACACGGTTAGTCCATCATGCTATCTTCAATATTTGGATTTGTTGTGCAAATAGATGTGCGACCTTAGTTGTACATACCTTTCGTAATTTCCTCATGTAATTATCACACAATCATATGCTCAGTACGTGTTCTGCACTGTGCCCCACAGTAATCCGCAGCGCTAATGGCACGAGATTATTTTATCCTGTTGGCTTCGATTTAACTGTTCACTCAAGTAGTACCATCCTAGATGTCAGTTTGCTAGCAATGAGTTTGGTTTCAGTGACTTTTTTTTTATTTAGCACCGGCCTGTCCAAAACTCCACAATAATTGAGTTTTCTGTCCTTATTTGAAAAAGAAACCAATTTTGTTTGGCCAATGAAAAATATTTTGGATGGAATATTATATCTTGATTCGGAAAGTTGGTTCACCTTATCCCGACCTAGATTCGCTCCTCATAGCATAGATCACTGTGAAATAATCTCTTTTTGTAAAGACGGCTGATTTGATAAGCTCGGTGTCTCAGTCCATCTATTTGCCTCTTCTAGTTAAATGGCACTGGTTGTGCCGCTACCCGCATTTTGAAGGCGCTTGTCGAAACACACCAGAACACCGTAAGTTTTGCTTCTCAGTTGTATTCTCGCAGTCGTAGTTCGGCCACCTGCGTGGTTAAGTTAAGTTATTAGACTAAATGTAGTGCTGACATAATATTCAGTCGATTATTATTCGGTTGTTTCTTCGACGCATCTCACTCAATATAGCTAACCTTAACCCGAAAATTGGTGTACTTGGTCCTCAGTCTACTACAGCCTGGCCAACTCAGGTCGATGCGCAAGTTCTGACGCGATCTTAATACCAACTTGTATTAACCTGGATTCCGTCTCGACGGCATGCTGCATCCTTACAATCTGATAATCATGCCATTAAAATGAGTGCTACAAGTCATTTTCAGTTGACGTGCTATGGTCATAATTTCGATTCCCAAAACCGCAATTGTTATCGCCATGCTTTTAAAAGCCCACACAAAGGATACTTTTCAAACCCCAAGTCATCTCTTGTTGCCATCTCCTAATTCGCTTTAACTATAATCCCTGATGGTAACTTGTGCTTGTAGTTTTTCCTCATTTTAAGGATGGAAGTATAAATCTGCCCCGTGTTCTGTGGCCTTATATGAACGGAATCCAAAAGCTGCAGATGGAGGAATCACCACTGATGATGTATTAATGCTCTATTTGTCCTTTCTCGTATTCTTGTACATAGCAGTGCTCATTGGGCTTTTTTGAGCCGTGGTAGTGTAGCTGCTGGAGTTGTCAACTGTAAAGCAAGTGGTTGCTCTAGTTCTTTCATGATGTTTACTCTTGGACCTGTGATTAACTTTCGGCGATTTTGGCTTGTTGTCAAGAAGCCGAAATAAATCATTTGTCTGACTTGACGTTCTCTTAACTAACCTGCCATGGAGTGAAGGCTTAAAATTGTCTTCGGCGCCGAAAGTACGCGTTTTTACATGATGTTAAAGTTAGTCGAAATCCAGCAGCTTTCAGGAATTATAAATTCATTCAATATTTTTAAATTGAATTTGCAAGAGTTTATGTGTTGCTCCTAGAGTAAGAAAAATGCACTCGTCCAGAGTGTCGACATTTGCTTATTGGAAACCAAAATAGCAGTAGGTAAAGTAGTCTCTATTTGTTGAAAACGTTGTAGGAAACTCGGTGTCGACGTAGAATTCAAAGCTCGCATCTGCCACACATAAGCTCATCTAGTTCCTTTCTTACCAGATGCGCACGTCGCGCACCAGCACAGAGCATGCTGATAATTGCAAACACCACACTTCTCTGTACTTCTGTATACATTTTTCTCATAATCAAAACACGTTGGCAAAACTCTTATTGTGAGGTGCGGTGCTTTCGGCCCTTGATCTCAGATAAAGAAATGGCGTTATATGAAACTCATGGGCCAGATCTCAAAGTCCGAACAGAAAGTGCCACCGGTAATAAGTGCAAAACTGACTGTTGTAATTTCACAAATATCTAGCGTGAACTTAGTCTAGCCAAATTGCGGACTTCCCGAAGCCGAGGGACAGTATGTTTTGGTGTGGTTTAGTCGAATCATCCCAGTAACGAGCGTTTTAAACTGAAGTCCCTGGTCTAATCATCGGCCGTCACCTTAACTCCCGTCGTGGATATATTCGCTATTTTATTCACAAAAGCTGTTTACAGTACACGATATATTCCTAATTCGGCAGGGCACTGGGGGGAAAGCTGCATGCTCATGAAAACTAGCACGTACTAGGTCTTATTTACATAATCTGGCATTATAGAAAAGTGTTCAAGTTCTGTTTCCACGTCGAACATTGTAACCGTCTATTCGCTTACCACTTAATATCTGAAAGTCTGGATTCGTGGGTTTATCACACGTCGTTTACACTGTTTTACCGCTCAAATGATACGACTTTGGTATCTTTCCTGTGACTAGAAACTGAACTCATGTTAACCATTTTAAACAGGTTTCATGAATGTAGTACCATTTTTAATATTAATCAGGAACAACCTGCAATGACAAGAATAAAACGGTAACAATTAGAAGGGTAGGATAAAATTTATTCCAAGTTTATCGTGGCGTGTAGTCTTCCATGATTTATTATCGGATGCTCAATTCATAACAGGAATACTTCAGTGAGTTCTTATTAAAGTCAACATTCATAAGGTGGCATAAACCCTTCGTGGATGGTGTATTGAATTGAGTTAAATCACTTTCTACAGATCAACCTAGGGAGGAATGCTCACCTCCTTAAACCACGCACGTGTTACGCTTTCTTGCTTTGCAACGGTGACTGTGTTTGCCTTTAGCCGACTACATTTTAATGTCTTAAAAGCGTGGTTTAGGCAATGCGACCACGCATCGGATGGCAGCGAATTAGGCCAAATCAACTCCAACGCACTCTAGTCGTGCGTCCGTTGCACCCCCCCGCGTGAACACACACTCCGTGATCGTCTGCGATTTGTGCGTTTGCACGACGCTATACGCACGCGGATGCAACACGACTATTTGGAGCCGTTCAAAAAAAATAGTCTCCCATTACTACTACTCTTCTCAACCATCCCACGCACCTGCGTGACGTAACCAAGAAGCAACAAATGGCGCCGTTGAGGTGGCTGCGGAACTCAAGTAATGCTATCGAGTCGGTTATGTATAATGTGCCAAACACAGTTCCGTCCGATGAATGTCAGCCTGCATTTAATGAAACCTAACTTACAAATCAAGACAATTTCTCATTTCCACAAATTGGGCTGAGAGGCTGGTCAGCAAAAGAATACTTGTTGGTGGTGAACTGGAAATGTACAAAAACGCTGATTTTGCTTCAAAATATCTAGAGGTAGTCGTTAAGCACACATCTACATTTGGGCTTTGCACAGTTTTTTTCTATTCGAAGGATCATTAAGTGTGACGTAGCACCTCTGTCATTGGATTGAGTGATGGCAGTTCGGACATTTCACTGTTAACAGGATTAAAAATCAAAGTTCCTAACCTCGACTGAATCTGAGGTGACGGGTACAGGAAAGTAGAGAAGTGTTAAGTAAATCAGCGCAGCCAAGCAAGTTAGTCTAAAATAAGTACACTCTGTTTAAAAGAAGTCAAAGACGTTAGATCTAAGATATTTCAAATACTATTATATAAGCAAATGATTACGCAGGTCCTAGAATTTAAAGTCATTTTTTTTCAAAATATGTATCCTTAATATAAAAGTTTGGCTCTCTGGGACTAATAAAGTTAGGAAACTGGAGTAAATTTGTTGATGCAGAGACCTACTGTTAGGGGTTCTAAGGTATCTTATTGCATAATTGTGACCAAGTTTTTTGAAGGAATATGAAAACATGGCAAACGTTTTACTCATGAAACAATTCATATGAATGGATATGACTGCTAAATACTCTCCTTCACGTCAGGCGTTTGAATTTGTTAGGTGGAAAGTAAAATGGTTGCACATTGGTTTTTACATAAAATAATGACATCCAGTTTTGCATGCACTTACACACACACACAGACACGCGAACGAAGTTTTTAAGGTGCTGGGCAAAGGTCAATTAGGTGACAAATTATAATAATCAGAGCCTGTGAGCATTCCGACTGACACCACCATGCAGCCACCCACGAAATCGAACTCATTGGTCTGGGAGGCCTTTCTAGCTGCGGAAAAGAAGCGAATCGACGAGCTCATTCACCCAACTGGAGGCAAGGAGTCCGAGGAACGTCAGAAGCATCGACCACACGGTCCTAAATTGCCAGTAGCGAAATGTTCAGACTTTTTCTTTTACCAAGTTCTTGGTCGGGGTGGTTTCGGTGAAGTTCGACTGCTTCGACACAAAGTTGCTCATACCTGGCATGCCGCAAAGATACTGCTGAAGTCAATGGTCATCAGTAGAGGGCACGTGAGCCACGTTAACAACGAAAGGGCCATTCTTGCACTTTGCCGAATGGACTTTATTGTTCAGCTCAATTATGCTTTCCAGGATGCGAGCAGGCTCTACCTTGTGATGGAATTCGTTCCTGGTGGCGACCTCTTTACTATGCTGAGGCATTTGCAACGCTTCGACGAGCGGCTAGCTCGTTTTTTCGGTGGTCAGGTTCTTCTGGCTCTAGAATATCTCCACGGCCTACAGATTATCCACCGAGACATAAAACCGGAAAACATGATGCTAACACACAATGGCTACCTTAAGTTGGTCGACTTCGGCTTTGCGAAATTCGTGACGCGTAGGACCTACACGTTTTGTGGAACTCCTGAGTATTTGGCTCCAGAAATTCTCCTTCATCGTGGTTACGGGCCCTCTGTGGACTGGTGGGCTTTTGGAATCCTCTTATTTGAGATGGTTGTTGGGTTTTCACCGTTTGTTTGCCGGGACGTCGCCAACACCTATGCAAAAATTATTGATCATCGACGCGACCCTCTAGAAATTGTGGGCGTTCATGGACGCGCACACATGAGTGAAACGCTGCGTCACCTGATTAGCCAACTTTTGCAGAGAGAAGTATCGAAGAGGTACGGTTCACTGGCTCGGGAGGGACCACGGGAAATACGAAACCATGCGTGGTTCAGTGAAGTGGATTGGAATGACCTGTTTGAGCAAAAGACGACCCCACCCTACGAATATCCACCTACAAATGCGCCTTCAAGCAATGAACCAGTTGGACAAAAAGTTCCCGAAAATCATCTTACAGTTTTTGAAGAATTTTAGTGACGTATGCTTGCTTTTTATCCCACACCTATACTCATATTAACTAGTATCTTTGTTTGTGACTGTACTTTCGGATTATAGAATAGCTATAGTAAAAAATAATCACTTCACACGAACATCAAATTGCTAAATAAAAATAAGTTCCACGAATTCCACTTCCCGGGGATCACGTATGAAGCTGAATCCATTCATAATTTGGCTACCACTGCTATTAGATGCATTTTGGTCGCCAGCTATATCGGCTGTGCCTTTTGACACTAAAGATATGGCAAGAAAGTGTGTTACTTAGTGATGTGTTTATCGTTTACACGATAAGCAGTGCAAAACTAGCAGCTTTCACTGTTTAATAGAAAATTGTGTAATTTTATTAGCAATTATGATCAGCTCTATCTGTATTCCGTTGATCTAGTTGTTATCGGAGTCTTAACGCGCCAGTTTCTACATCTAGTTATCTTAATTTCACCTATCTTTCATGGCTCAAAAGAACATGGTATTACAAGTGCCAAAATCCAAACGATTTTAGATAATACCTATGATGATGATCCACATGACCCTGCCGCATTTGGCATGCATTTCGCAAGTGCTGATTCCTTAAGTGAATTTCTGTCAAGTTGTGCAAAGCCCAGTGTTGAGCTCATTAGCAAGTTCAGAACACGTGAAGTGATTTCCAGTCTATGCAGTTTCGCCTTCTGTGATGTGATCACGGTTCGAGTGAATGATGGCTCTAATTTAGTCATAACCAACTCCACTAAGGTCACCAAAACGCCAATCAACTTCGAGTGAAAAATCGACAGAAGGGAAATTTAGAAGTCAAACCTGAGAGGCGCGTCTTTACAGGAATGAAGAACAAAATGACGTTAAAAATGCCTCTTATTGTACTCGATGCTAATGTTGAATCCACCTTAACAGCTGCATGCGAAACTACACGGAACCAACTACAAAATGTGGCCAAATGTCACGTCCGACGGAAGGCATTTGAGAAAAATTATAACATGAACAGCTTTTGATACCAGACTTAATTTCTTATATTTATGAAATCTGAACCTATGTTTCAGCTACCTAATTTACAGGGTAAGTAACGAATAACAAAGTCGGTAATGCAATGGCGGCTATTTTGAGGATCGAACGATCGCTTGCTCCATAGACTGTCATTACAAGCCGAGGCAGTTAAAGTGACCACATCTTACCTTTGGAATGCACTAAAGTTGCACGGTAGAAATATTCAGGCACATGCATTCTTCGTGCACGAAAGGATAGAATGGCAAAAGTGAGTAATTAAAAGCTGCCTACTGAATAGCGCTTAATTATTGTCAAAGCCTTATGTCGAAGTTAACGACAAATGTGAGACTCGTCAAGGTTTGAAAAACGATTGAAAGTTAAAAACGGACACGGAAGCTTATGTTATTCGTAACTTTTAATCAGCGCATTTCAGCGAAAGTACTCAAAAACCTATGTGACCAATGTGTTATTATAGCCTTAAAACGATCAGATTGTTGACATAGTTTTTACTCGTTATCCGTGGATGTCTCCTAGGTATTTTTTGTAGGAAATTAAATGCAAATTTCTAAAATATTGTACAGTACTACATTAAGGTCATGGGGACATAACGTGATTTACTTGACGAATAAGGGCAATTATGACCCTCGTTAAGGATTCACCGAAATGTTGAAGTGACTATAAAGGGAAGAAGCCACTTTCTTTGAGAAAAAACTCAACGTACCGTGAGAAACTAAAGTATATTCGTTGGCACAGATAGGTTCTTGTAAAAAAACAATGAACATTGTTGCAACTTTAGCCTACTCTCCTCATCAAGGTCTTCTAAATGCACCAGAAAGGCGACTTTCAGCTCATTTCTTTCTCAAACAGTACTCTAAATTACTCTTGTTAGATGCATATTTAACATATAAAATATGTTAAATATGTTTTTTTCTTAACAATAACGATTTGCGACTATCTGATTTCTTTTAATACGCACTTAATGCTACAGATGCGGCCAAACTAAGGCGCATTCACCCACCAAATTAGTTATTTCATAATCCATGTATCAAATGTCCTAAAATTAATGAATTATTGAAAAGTGGATGACAACGCGATTTTAATTGTGCATGCTGAATTCTCATCGTTTCTCCTATTTAGATCTGATATAAGGTATTCATATAATGCCAATACAATGTGGGATAATGTAGCAAATATAGCATTTAAAAAAGTTGGTGTCAAAGTATAACAAGAAATAACCCAAAATGTTGGGAGGAACAGTAAAATGATCAAGCCCGCTTCATTACTTCTGATCCTGAGCTAAGTTCCTCATAATTCAATTTCTTTCCTGATACTACAATGTTCAAACCAATGTGGCCTATATCCTACACAATAATTAGGAATATGGAAAAACTAGGTGGAGTCTTAGAGAGAGGCAGCAACCAAGTTCTGTTAATAAAGAAACCATCTGGCTTAACCAAACAAAATATTAGAAATTAGCAAATATTTAGGGACTTAAAATTGGTGATGCTAGGGAAATAAAAATTATCCAAGAATTAAACAATTATGGATAAAACACATTCACATACATTCATACAAGCGTGTTTAAGAAAATAGTGAACAGCGCCTTGTTGAGGCTATATATATTGGGCTTTTTTGTGTTTAAGTTAATGTTTTTGGAGCTAAAATTAATTGAATAACAACTAAATCATTAAAGGGGGTGATGCCGTGTAAAACAGCAAGGTTTTAACCCACAAAATCCAAATTTCACCTCGAGTAACAAGAAAATAGGTAATAAAAGAGTAATATGTGTTAATACACCAAATCAACAGAAAAAACTAGGTTAAAGTTTCATTCCTTAATTATTGTTCTTTCCTCACTTCATTTGCCTTCTTTGTTAAAATTTTTATGAAGAAATAGACTTGCAACTACTACTGTTTGTTTCGTGCTGATGTCTTATTGAAACAACAGAAATGAAATTTTTATTTAAACGAGAAGTAAACAATGTATTGCAAAGTTAATATATTTGTTTTAAATAAAATCGCAATAAAATTTTTTGAATTGTACCAGAAAATTGCTAAATAATTTAACTTTTAAATCATTCTTAACTTTAAGGCCTTGAGAACCACGAATAATCAAGGTTTGAAACATTGCTTGTCAGAACGCTGTTTGCTGATTAATGGTTTGAATATGAATTTGGATCTTAGTCACAATCAACGATTTTTCTTGTCTCTGGATTATGTCTTTTGCATTCAATTGAAGCGAATGATTGGCTTCGGTACAAGATGCTACTTGAAAATCAAACCTTTGTGTAGATTTAGAAGGATAACTGTCGGTGCATTAGGTGCCTTTCTGCAAAAGAGAACAACCTAAATAAATGCTTATGACGAAAAGACTTGACAGACTATTTGACTTTGACCAGTACTGCAATGTTTGAAATAAAAATGGAAAATCTATTAAACACAATATAGTAATTCTTAAAAAAGCTTAACATTGAGCAATTTGTGACATATAAGGTACAACTGAAGGCGGGTTTTGATAATCCAACTAAATGTGCAGTAACACATTAAAAATATGGGTGGATATAGACCTAATGTATCACACATGCAAGGTATTTAGATACCATAATGCGCTTGTCAACAAATAGCAGCTAGATTTCTAGATAACAGATGACCATTTTACACAGCAGTTTAGATTCTTTTACATTCCAACATTGCATTCCATAAATACAATACTGGTTAAGAAAACCAAAACAAAGTACTTTGAAGAACAGTCAGGCCACACTGCATAAAAATCCTTTGCCAAGCATATTCATTTGTGCCAATATCACTTCAGTGACACACTGACCACAGTGCTATAAAAATCATTTTCAAAGATATAGCTCATACTTGAGGAGACCCACCAGGTACTAACAAGTGACTAGTTACCTATGGGATCGCATACTACATTGATTAAAAGAGAAAGACAAGGAAAAGAAAATTTACGCAACACAATCATAATACATAAAAAAGGGTAGTGACCACAATCATTGTGATGTTTAGCTATTTACTAAACGGTTATGAGAGGTTAGTGAGATTGAGTTATGACAATTATACCGCATTTAAACCGAATATATTACTTGGTGTGGACAATGACTTCGACCAGCCTAGGTTTCACGCACTGACACACAACGATTAAAATTTAACTACCCGAAAGATTAACAAGTTATACTGATCCATAACTAACCCGCTGCTTCCGAAAAAGGCAGTGGCACTAACGTAAAAAATCAAATGAAAAATAAAAAGGTTTAATGTGTAAATCAAGATGCTGCTTAAATGACTTCAAGTTACGATTAAAGAATCTTTCTAAACAGTTATTTGTAAACAGAATAACTGAATACTCGTTGTCCAGAATCCATGCTAGCACGTATTAGCCTCATTAAATGCTAAATATGTGGACAGTCTTCGATTTCTACCTCAAAGAGTGACATAAAAACTTCGTAATGCATATTAGATATATCATGAAAATGAAATCAAGTCTAATCAATACTAATCCATTCATTAAATAATATGCAAAACGCTATTTTATTGCCCCAAAATCAGGACAATACTATATCCGAATGGTAAACATAAAAAAGCCGTCGACCACCTCATAATGATATCATCCAAAGAAATAACGCAATAGCTATAAATATACACGAGTGCTTAGAATCAAGTAACTTCAAAATATCGCCAAAATGTTTACAAAATACCGCATGGCCAGTACAATTAACACAAATTTTAACTCACTGAATAAAATAATTATTAGATAGGTAGCAATAACGTATATAAAAAGCCACGGAACATAAGAATGTGACATATAGTCGCAACTGTGCCAATTGCAAACAGTAATGACGAAGAGGGATCACACGATTAATGAAAAAAGAAATCTTAAGTCACCTAGTAAGAAAAAGAGAAATTTGTTTGATCAGTTTCATGCGAGCAGTCTTTATTGAGGAGCGTGTCAGTTGAACGCTTTCTGTGGATTTTTTGAAAATTTAATATTTGTGCGAAATGCCCTACCTTAAAAAATAGAGAAATAGTATTACCAATGATTTAAGGAATCAGAGTTGATTGACCCTTTTCTTTCACTTAATAGCAATATTTGGCCTAAGTAAATGTTTAGTAATATAAATTTTCATACAAGTTCTTTTTAATGAACTTCAAATTATGTGACAAAATATGTGTTTGTAAAATAAAAAATCAAGAGTTTTGTTTTAGTATTTAAATTTTTATCAACACTAGTCAATTCCATCAAGCGCGACCAATCGAATTTCTCCTCTCATTGCGCGTTGGTTCTATTGTCGTCACGATGTTCTACAAGCCCGAGGAAATTCAGGCAGTTAAAATACCCAATGGCGATCACTTATTTGAGTTAGATTCTTGGCTAGAACCCTACAAATACGAAATTAAAAGGAGGTAATGAAAATTTGTTTTGCCAAGTTGGCTGTTTGTAAAACTTTTTCTCCGCTTTTTATTAAGGTTTTCGTAATGACTTCACGTGTCGCGAGCAATCGCTTGCGGAGTATTTAAAATTTAGTTTTCCGCGGGATCGTTTCATTTACTTCTAAATTGCATAAATCTGGCCGTTGTTGAATTTGCAGTCTTGTGTAATAAGCTATATAATATCCTTCGTTTTTCTGACCCAATGTTTATGCTATGGACCTTTTCTACTCACGCAGGTTTCTTGCAACACTCAAATCATGCAGCGAAACCATATGTTTAGGGTTTGAAAGTTATGTATTTTCGATTATTTTCTGTTTAATGGAGCAAAATACATTATCGGTGGCTTCAATTGTTGTTTAATTCGATGCGATGGTATCACGAGGAGCATACTTCCGACACCTTCAATAAATTTCATTGAGTGACATTAAATGTTTAACTGTATGAATTTAATGAAGAAACGTTGCCCTATCAAACAATTTTTTCTGCACTTTATCCTGATGCATCTACGAATCTAAAAAAACAATTTCACTAGACGTTTATCAGGGGTTGTTAACCACTTTTCCAAACGTCGAAATCTTATCACTTAGCTAATTCGCTTTTTTGAAGATGCCAGCTATTGCTCCTTAAAATCCATTTGTCTATCTGAAAGGTTTCTAAAAATAATAGGTTGCCCCTTTTTAACAATAATTCTTTTCTCTCTGAAATTTATTCAGGGTTGCTTTATCCCGTTGCATGTTTACAAATAATAAAGGCAATTTTGTTCTCTAAATTGTAGTTAGTTTTCTCCATTTCAAAATTTGTTGTCAGTAACGCATGAATTCTTTGCTTCTGCCACCCCGTTAACATTAAATCAGTGAAAATAATTTGCGCGGGTTTTTAGGAGCCCTATACAGACGTAAATATAATGGATCGAAGTGCAGAGTACTTCTTGTCAAATCTTCGTAGAAGTGCTCTCTAGTGTTGCCCCTTGTGTAAATTAATTATTTACACCTAATTTATTGGAACAAAATACACTTTTGAGTCCGGAACCTCGTGGTATCTGCCTCTCTCCCTCTTATTACTTATTTTCTTTAAAAACTAATTAACCCCTGTTTTGTCCGCTCAGTCGCACATCACATTGATTATGATTCGCTTCCACTTCTGGTGCTGAGCAGAATCTCCTCTATGTGTATTTTGTGGTTTCTATGTTGACTATTTTCCGATTGCATGTATGTAACGGACGGCATGCAGAAGTGTTTAAGTTAAAGGAATCAAATAGGCATGGGTGAAGCGGACATTAGTTGGACCAAATGACGTTGGGCAGCAAAATGAAAGAGTGGGAGGAACTATGTTGTGCCCTCATTATGTTGGCATCTACATGCTAACACATGCATTGGGTGCTTCTGTCCCTCAGTAGACGAGCTTTATTATTGGAACGTATGTATTTGAATAATACGAATTCCTTTGTGTGCCTTGCTGGATCATCGCCTCCTACAAGTGTATTCGGTTCCAAATGAAATTGACTTTAGAATGCAATGCGGCTAAACGTGTCTGCCTATATGAATCCATTCCTCTTGCATTTGAATTGTGCAAAAAATTAGTGTCTCCACAGGTGGACGTACTTTCTTAGTGGACAAGTGCCAATCTGGCTTACAATTTGTAGATACAAATGCTTCGAAGATTACCAGCGGTGGATAGAGAGTGTGGGTGGAATGGAGTCCTTCACTCAGGGCTACAAACGATTTGGCATTCACGTGGAGCCAGACGGAACAGTCAGATGCCTGGAATGGGCCCCTGGAGCTAGAGAAATGTACCTTCGTGGCGACTTCAGTGAGTTTTCATTCGTTAACCATTGATGTTTTTTAATGCTAGACGACTGGAGGGAGTATGAATATCCCTTTACGAAGCTTGAATTCGGAAAGTGGGAATTGGTTATTCCTCCAAATGGTGATAGTGGGAAACCCGTGATTCCACATCTCTCCAAAGTCAAGGTAAATCTGGGTTTCCTGTTTCATTTCTTGTATTTAGCTAATGGTTATTGGTCCTGACGGAGCAAAGCACGATCGTATTAGTCCATGGGCTACATATGTGAAGAATTTCGACAAGAATATTGTCTATGACCACGTATTCTACAACCCACCCTCGGTAAGTTAATTCAAAGTTCGGTCATGATACTTGTTATCTTTAGCGCTACAACCTCAAGTATCCTCATCCACCGAAGCCAAAGGCTTTAAGAATCTACGAAAGCCATGTGGGCATCGCGACCTCGGAACTGAAGGTTGGTAGCTATCTGGAGTACAAGGATAAGATTGTCCCGCGGATCGTTGATTTGGGCTACAATTGTATCCAGTTGATGGCTATCATGGAGCACGTTTATTATGCCTCATTTGGATACCAAGTGACCAATTTCTTCGCTGCTTCAAGTCGATATGGGACGCCGGACGAGCTGCGTGAACTGGTGGACGAGTGCCATCGCCAGGGCCTAATGGTTCTGCTCGATGTGGTCCATAGCCATGCTTCGAAGAATACCGCAGACGGACTGAACCAGTTCGATGGCACGAATTCCTGTTATTTCCATGATCATGGAAGAGGAGTGCATGAACTGTGGGATTCACGCCTTTTCAATTACACTGAGTATGTTTCCCACGACACCCTTCCTCTGCCCTTGTTGATCCTCGACTTAAGGTTCCTGTAGTAGACAACACTGCCCCAAGACTCCCTTTTGGCGTATGCATGACACCACGAGACTGGGTTAAGCTGTTAACACGAAACTGTAGCGACTGTCAAATAGCTGGTACTTCTGCATGATGGATCGTGTTTGTGTTAAACGAGATAATGTGATCGGCGTTAAAAAACAATAACGACAGCTCGTGCGTACCTTCAAGAATCTGGGATTTCCAATGTATTTCCACCACTTAAGGACTTTCAGAACGTTATTATCTTTTTGAACCACACATGCACCTACTTCTATCGTTATCTTCATGTGCATTTACTGTTTAATTATTTTTTGACACGTTTAAAGTCTGCATAAGAGATTCATTTTTCCACATATTTGCAAGCAATTGAATTAAGCATGTAAAACTCCCTGAATGACCAAGTTTATCCACTCGCCTTTCAATTATTCACTTGCTGTTTTTCTTTTTAATGCCTTTTTCATCCCACCCACACTCTCTACACGCGCTCATCTTTTCGTTGACCGAATGTTGCATCTAGCTTTCCTTTTTTTGCCTTTTGCTCCACTTGCCTGGTTACTACATCGTCTCTTCGGACCGCACAAATCAGTAGTTACCACTTTCAACCTAATTTTAAGTGGTCCGATTTTAAATTTTATGGCTCCCACGAAACAACCAATCACTAATTCATCTATTATCGACAGAAGCCCCTCAAATGACCCTTTACTAACATTTGGGATTGCGTCCTGTGAATAGACATTAATTACGTTGGTTTACCTTGAAGCCATCGCTTACTGGACCTATCCATTCAGTCTGTAACGCTCATCGTCTTATGCTAAAATGTCGTTCTTGAATATTAGGTTGGAAGTCCTTCGGTTCCTTTTATCAAATCTACGATGGTGGATCGATGAGTATGGCTTTGATGGCTTTCGTTTTGACGGCGTTATGTCGATGATCTATCATCACCATGGCCTGAATACCGACTTTTCCGGCTCCTATGGTGACTACTTCGGGCTTTCCGTGGACACAGAGTCTTGGACTTATCTAATGCTCGCAAACGATTTCCTACATAAGAAATATCCATTCGTCATAACTATAGCAGAGGTATATAATTGGTGGATATTACCCACGGTTATGCGCAGTTCTGAATCCTCGCAAATCACATTGTTTTCGTTTATGCCATGACCAGTGTTCGGAGGAGTCAATGGGTGCTTCATGTAGTGTAACTACGTAGTACCCTCTGTCCTTTCTTTCTATGCATTAATAGTGGATAATAGCATTGTGTGGAAGTTGTCCAAGCAGTCTGGACTAGTCGTCAATACCAGAGGTGAGTGCGTTCGGGTTCACAGCGAGCCACTGGCAATTTTGTTGGACCATCTGTTAGGGTTGCGTTCCTGCCTTTCGCGTAACAGCGTTGCATTTTTTGGGCCACAAAGGCTATTATTTTCGACGCCATCTACAGTTTGGAGGAGGTTAAAGTTTGAAGTCGACGTTAAAACACTACACATTTTAAAATGTGTCTCTAACTTGACTGCCACCAAGATGGTTGTAGTCGGACATCGTTTGTTAATGAATGACAGACAAACTGAGGCTTTGTCTAGTATCTGAGACTCCCCTTATCTACATTCAGTCAGAAATCGTGCTAGCTTTTGACAAAAATTGTACGCAGCCCTTTCAGTACACTAAACTAAAAGTTGTGTGCAAATTAATGGTTTTCGCGCTTCCTTTTTAGGAGGTCAGCGGCATGCCTACTCTCTGTCGCCCCGTAGACGAAGGAGGTGCGGGATTTGATTATCGTCTCGCCATGGCCATTCCCGATCTTTGGGTCTCGGTGAGCAACACATTAAAGTGTTTTTTTTGCGCGCCATCACACTCAACGGGACCAATTTGCTCCATACAAGGCAGCTAGAAAGACCTGTAATTTATCAAAATTAATTTTTGAGTGATTTGGGGGACTGACACTCAAATAAAGAAGGTAACGTGTATTTTGAGAGAGTTACTCAACCCCAGGCCACAGGCCATCGGTTGACATGCTGACAGTTATTCGTACATTCATGAAAGGGCGCACGATCACGTACGCTGTCGTGGCCGTTCTGGTGGTTACGCAACATCAACATGCGTCATGCTTGATAAACTAACCAAACCATCACGCTTATCGCGTTTGCCAAAAGCTGTTGGTGCTATATCAATTTGCATGTGTTTGCGGCATTTGGACAACACGTAAACATTCCTGCCGGGGGGGTCTAGGCTTTCATTTGGTCCGGGGGTGTCTTTTTGTCAATCGCGAGCCCTGACAATTACGTAATTTGTGAACGTTGAAATGATTTTTTCCCGTGACAATGCGAATTTGTCCGCGGTAGATTCCTTGTTTTAACAGTCTGAATGTTCTCGTACCTAGCGGATGCGTGTATGCAGTCACGCTACCCGCAGATTTGTGGTTGTTTAATCCGCCAAAATGAAGAATCAAGTTGCACCGACAGCTACGGTGGTGATGTCTCACACTACCACGTGCAGTCTCCGCTTTCATATGCAGTGAATTTCTGCGGGCGTTTGGCTTTCTCGGGTCATGTTTGGTGCTGCCCTCCAAAAGTCTCCTCAGTGGCCGTAGGCCGTCTTGTTTGTTTTTGCTGTCTGGTTGAGATTGAGGTCATCACATAGTCTAGAACATTTTCGTATCCGCAACACAACCACCACGACAAATCCGTTCACTTTGGGTCACGTTCGGTCACGCGCCTTCACTAGGGGCACGGCTCTGGCGCTTTTCATCGATCGTGCAGGCGCGCGCGTGCCAGCCCCAATAACGTCGTGCCTCTCCAGTGCAATCATCGCCAGCCTCTGTGACTGCCTTTTCTCTGGCCGCAGAGGGATTGAAGGCCATGGCTAAGGCCTCTCACGAAATCTGTCCTGATGGCTTTCTCAACAGTTTTTCCACATTCTAAAAACACAATTTGAGTGAACTTAGTAGTTCCTTGATAATGAAACGTTTGGTTCTCATTATCAAATCCTACTTCTTACATTACTGGACCTAAAACCTCTCCAGGTCCCGTCAGTCGGTTAAAGAATCATTTCAGCTTTGTCTAAAAATGTGGGTCGCCTTTTTAACCAGCTTACTTTAATCTTTCTGCGTCTACAAAACCTACTTCATGTCATGACTGCTGTTGTGTGGTATGTAACTAGACTTTGGGCAGCTAGAAGTACTGATTTCTTGAATTAGTGTGGCTTTAATGCTAAGCAGTTAGTGCTAAGGAAAGGCCACGACCTCTTCAGTTGACTTGTGACATGTTGTCAAGTTGATAAATCTAAAAATTAAGCGCATTTATTGTTCCTTTTTCATTTTTAAGAATCACTTTTTGACAAAACATTATGATTATCGAGATTATTAATGAGCAAAATTTGCACCTGTTCGGTTGACCAGAAATCATCTCACCTAGCTAAGATGTGTGAACAAATATTCCTTTTGCAGTATCTGAAGAAGCGTTCAGATGAAGACTGGGACATGGCCAAAATTGTGCACAGCCTGACGAACCGTCGATGGGGCGAGGCGAACATCGCCTATGCGGAGTGTCACGACCAGGCCCTGGTGGGGGACAAGACCATATCGTTTTGGCTCATGGACAAGGAGATGTACACCCACATGAGCACCCTCTCGGACCCCAGTCTCATTATTGATAGGGGCATCGCCCTACACAAAATGATCCGATTCATCACCCATGCCCTTGGCGGCGAGGGATACTTGAACTTCATGGGTAGGCTTCTTTCCCCACAGTTGCTACTGGTGTTGCTGTGTGTATGTGTGTGCTTAAGAAGCCTTTAAAATGCATTCGCTTATTGAGTGTACTTAACGCCATCGGGCTTCCTCGTGCGTCTTCATTTGAGCCACCTTCTCATGCCTATAAGGATATACGTGCTCCTGCAATCATGCCTTGTCGTCTGGCCGAATGGTCTTAAGTCCATAGTTTGCCGCTTCGACCGAACGAGTGTGATTTGTCGCGAAGTGCCCTGCCGGTACGTCGGCTGCCACACACATTAAAGGAACACAACGCGAACCATGATGAAGAATCCGGTGGTGACATACAGAGGTTGAATGTTTACCGTCACGGAACACCGCACCCCAACCCGTTGTAAACTCGCAGGCATTAAAAGTGTGCTTTCTGCACGCTAAGCTCGTTCATTTTGTTTACATGAAATCTAGTCTAAATATTTAGCTGGAACCCCGAGCCCCCAGAATAGAAACAATCAAGCTCGCGAACAGTCCTTTAATTTTGCTATTATTATCCACTGTCACGGCACTGCGTCCAGCTACTTAGACTTGACGTCTATTTATCAAGCAAATATTTGTAAGCTCTTGGATAACTTCCTATCAAACGCTGCTACTCCGGCATTATGCATGTCTTGTAGTTCCATTGCTTTGGCCCAACTCACTGGTCAGTACGACAAAATTGTGAACTCAACATCTCCAGTTTTAGCGCATCTCGTCAGCTTATAGCAATGTCACCTGTTGGAAGGAGATTTAACTGCAGTTTTATGATCTGTCTTGACGCTTCTCTGTCGTTTTCATTTAAATCCTCCTTATTTAGAGGGTTGTTCTTGTCCTGTAGATTATAAAGTAGGCTTCGGCCAGGGTACCTAGTTTTGCATCGTTAATTTACGGGCCAAATATAGGTTGTGTTGTTCATTACTTACGGTAACTGTATGAGCTGTTTTGGAAGGAATTCTTTGATCTCGATTGGCTAGTCGTGGAAGCAGTTTACCTAGAATTGATGGTTTTGTCTGCGTTTCCGACTTACTGACACACCATACCCTTTATACTCTAGTTTCACCACCCACTAGCATTCATAAGAGCGATTTGAATGTCATGCTTTAACTTGTGCATATGCTGGTCTGGGGTATTTGTGCCCTACTTGCAAATCTAGCTAATCACGAATAAAAATCCAAGTCCTTATCTTCGAATCAGGCAATCCTGTTCCGTAGCTTGGGTGCACTTTGCATCTCTCACAGAGTCGTCAATATAATAGCTTGTAGTTATTAGCGGTTTTTTTTGAGAAGCCAGGAAGCCCAAAACCTTGACTGGAAATTGCAATTTTACGTAATGTGCCCCAAGAATTGCGTACACATATGACATTAGTTATGCCCATTTCGTTGAAATGAGCCCGACACCTAGTTATCGTTATCCATCTAGTTGATCTCTGATTCCTGCTGATTTGTAATTTTACCAAACGTGATTTGTTTCTCTAATTTTACATTTACTTTAGAGTCTATTGCAGTGTACATCTCCTAAGTATGTCGATGGGTGCTTTTAAGATACAAATCTATCATATATGGTGCTTAAGGTCACTATTTAACGAATAGTAATGTCACCAAGTGTATGTCTAGTTTGTTTTTAGCACTGACACTCTCATATGTCGTGTAACAGGTAATGAATTCGGGCACCCGGAATGGTTGGACTTCCCGCGTGAAGGAAATAACAGCAGTTATCACTATGCACGTAGACAATGGCACCTCGTGGATGATCCGCTGCTCAAGTATAAATATCTCAACAACTGGGACCGTGCGATGCAACACTTGGAAGAAAAATATCACTGGCTTAGCGCTCCCCAGGTTAGTTGGGCTCTCCGGCTGCACAACTTGAATTGTCAAATCGGTCGGTTGGAGTACTGTCAGAGGTCCGTGAAGTTAGGGAGAGTAACGACATGTGCGGTCTTGTTGTGTGGGTAGCTTACGCACCACATGGACTAGTCAATTGGTGGATGTAGTTTGTGTCTGGTTCAACTCAAAGCTAGAAAACATGTGGATTTGAAGATAACCACCAATATAAGCCTTGTGAAATTAAGGTCAGAGATCAAGTCGATATTGTGTGAATTTCACACAGATGCCAAGGGTCAAATCACTTTTTGCAGTAGACACATGCCAGCATGCGATGTTGTTATGGAGTGAATTTCTGCATTTGAATAATGCTCTGACAGTATGTAGGGAGGGCTAGTTTGGGCTCAAAAGCCTAAACATTTAGGCCAGGAGTTTTCACCGGAATCAGAAACATACTTTCGGTTAATCTTGCGTGCATGTAGTTAAGTTTTGCATCATTAATCGACCAAAGCAGTGTATTGGATGGTCTTTTTGCGTATTCCGGCAGGCCTATGTCAGCAGAAAGCACGAAGACGACAAGGTGATTGTCTTCGAGCGAGCCGGTGTCCTATTTGTATTTAATTTCCACCCCCACAAAAGCTTCACTGATTACCGCATTGGAGTTGACACTCCTGGAAGGTGAGCTACTTTCCCACACGTAATCGACATCTCCGGTATACATCGAATAACGTCTTTTATGAATTGCAGCTACAAGATAATTTTGAACTCTGATCGGGCTGAATTCGGGGGCTTCAATCGGATCGACGAGTCACTGCCAATGCCCACGAAAAATGAGCCCTGGGACAACAGGCGTTGCAGCATGTACGTCTACATCCCCTCGAGGGTGTGCATGGCGCTCGCCTGCCACTAGCGTGCGCGGTGTGTGCCGGTCCTCGTTGATGCTCATGCCCTCCCGCCCTCTCGCCCTCCCCCCCCACTCTCAATCATGCTTGCAGTGCTCTATTGTGGTTTTCCGTCACCATTTACTTGATTACTTTACAGGCATCTCCCTTACATAATAGTCTTATGTATGAAATGGTGTCTTCATAGTTGAACATGATTTTCAACCTTGATTATTTTCATTCTGGATAGAAGGGCAAAGCGGATGTCAAGGCGAAAGAGTTAGTCCTGTTGAGGACTTACTCACTTATTTCGAAGAACCCGCCTGTACTGAACCAACCCCGAAACCCGATATTGTAAAGCCATTTCAGTGGGTTTTAGTACTAGTGAAACATCTCAGTTAAGTTAGTCTGTCGCTTGGATAAGAGAAGCTGGTTTCGTTGTCAGACGTCTGCGGACGACTGTTTGTTGTTCTCCCTTCTTGTGGTCTAGAGTAATCGCATTTCATAGATGACTCATCCAGTATGTCGCGTCTGCTTTAACCGAATAAGATCTCTCGATGGCCCACTGCTGTCCTAAGCATTCGAAACATGGCTCGAAAATCCTAAAATCCTACCCGAGTTTGGTGTGTTTCGTCAAAAGACCACATTTCCATCCAGTCAATGCTGGGATTGATTTCGAAGTGGAAGGAAAGGTTGGTTAAGAGAAAAGGCGCGGAATTAGGGCTTCTCCGGGAGTGCGTTGCCTTCTGGCATTAAATTATTTCGATTTAAGCCGGAACCAGAGTACACAGGGCCATTGTGAAGGCCTGTGAAAACAGAGCAATGTGTTGAAACGGCACTGTGTATGAACACTTCTCGCTTCTTGAAGGTATTTCGGGAACCTGCCTGCTGTAAGCGGGGTTATTTAAATTATTTGGACGAACGTGTAGGGAGTTTATTCCGGTTGGTGTATTGGATTGATTTGAACATTTCTGAAGAGGTTAGTTGTGCTTACTGACGCATTTGTCGTCGGTATCCAAGGTTACGTTATCTGTTGGACCGAGGTGAATGACCACAAAACGGCAAGGCGTCGCATGATTTGGTACTGCTGTCTCCTGTGAATGAGTCATTAACGTTTACCTTTATGCGCACCCATGCTTCCTGATTTTGTTAATGGAGTCTTGGGTATGAAGGGGCATCAGGAGTTTCGTGCTACTCAGAAGCCACAAATGTGTAGTTTTCAAAGCTTGATCCAGTGCTCCGGACAAATAATTGCCTGGATCGGCATCATGTGTTAAGGTTATCATTTTATTTGTACTAAGACATTATAAGTAGGCATATATTTAATGCACCAAAGTGAAGCTTAAAGAATTTTTGGGGGGTGATAAGGCGGTAACGCTGGCCGTGTACCGCGAGAGATGGTGTTTCAAATCAAGGAATGAGCTTTAATAAATTGTGCATTTTCCATTAGGCCCGATGAGGTCTTGCAACAATCCTTGATTCTGTTCTCACGGAACTTATTATTTATACACCTCTAAGCATTGCATGAATTTTACAAGCTTTAACAATGCTACGTGGCAGTCAGGCCAGTATCAGGGCCAAATGCGACATCATCCACATCGAGTTCAAGTAGCTTGCCACGGCTTGCCAAGCATGTGTAAGGACTTGCATTATCCTCGCAAAACACGACTCTCCCGCGATTCGTCCATTCTTGCCACTTTCCTTTGTTTGCCTCCCTGTCCACTTTCATCGGTTGTAAATGCCTGTAGTGGTCGTGCGGATCACTGACAAGGGCCAAAAATACACACCAGCATGGTTACCTCACCTTGTTTTCAAGAAATTGTGGTACCGATGAGGTTAGTGTCGGCTCATCCCACTTGGACGGTGCAGTTGCTGACTGGTGCGACCCATGATGATGATGATGATCCACATGACCCTGCCGCATTTGGCATGCATTTCGCAAGTGCTGATTCCTTAAGTGAATTTCTGTCAAGTTGTGCAAAGCCCAGTGTTGAGCTCATTAGCAAGTTCAGAACACGTGAAGTGATTTCCAGTCTATGCAGTTTCGCCTTCTGTGATGTGATCACGGTTCGAGTGAATGATGGCTCTAATTTAGTCATAACCAACTCCACTAAGGTCACCAAAACGCCAATCAACTTCGAGTGAAAAATCGACAGAAGGGAAATTTAGAAGTCAAACCTGAGAGGCGCGTCTTTACAGGAATGAAGAACAAAATGATGTTAAAAATGCCTTTTATTGTACTCGACGCAAATGTTGAATCCACCTTAACAGCTGCATGCGAAACTACACGGAACCAACTACAAAATGTGGCCAAATGTCACGTCCGGCGGAAGGCATTTGGATGGCTCTTGATAACAGACAACTTCTTCTATTCAAGAAATTTGAACTTCCTTCCTCTCCATCACAATCTCTGACATGGTGCTGGTTGTCTTTTGACTCAAGTAAACCCTTGGGTCCGCAGAACACAAAGCGTTGGTGTATTTGGTGTTTGCTGAGTTCAGGCTCACTTTAAACACGTTTTCAGTTTTTCGGAAACGCTGGCGAACACTCCTTGGTGATCGTATCTGTCGAACACTGAAGAGATTGACCTTCAAACACTGAATCAACTCTGATATTAAAGATTAAATTCCTATTATAGTTGATTGTTGTTTGCGGAATTGTTGTACTTCAAAGTTTCATTTGTAGACGATTTACATTGCAAAAAGTGTATTGAAAACTGGCCTTTCTGAAATGGGCAGCCACAAACACGTGAGGAATTCCGCGGACGTAGCGGTGGCAGAAGTAGCTTTGTTTGCAGAACCTCCCTTGTTCCTAACTTTCGATGTACGGGTGAAAACTGATAACGTTAGCTCACTAATGTAAATGCGGTGCAAATGCCGACAAAATTATGTCCTTCAATGCACTTTTTAGATTGCAGTGGACCTTGAAGATATCCAAATTAGGAAGGCATGTTGTTATCGCAAGGTCGCTGGGACAGGTTAACCTTTTGGCTTCGTGGGTGTCGTAAAACAATTGACTCAGACTGTGAAGCCAAGATTCTTCGTCTGCGTGACAGCTAATATGCATATACCGCTTGAGGCTTTGTAAAAGGGACTGTGCTGCCATCATAAAAAGTAAAATAAATAAGAAAATCATAATAGAGTTGGATGAATTAGGACAAGCAGTGACGGCAACACTGAGGTTCCGATTGCAGTTTCGTGCGAATTTTTGAGGGGTTAACTGAAATCCCGCTAGAGAAGGAGGACAGTGAGGCATCGTGATATAATGCAGCTACACCGCCAACAGAAGTATTGGGAATTCGCAGTTAAACAGAAAATTGTGTTCGACCTGTTATCAATTGAAAAAAGTGATAAGAAACGACTCTACCCTAAGAAAGCAGCGTCTCAATCACGTCGCAGTCAACGGCAGTGATTCCCATTCGCCCGTTTCGAATTCTCCTCTGAAGATGTAGCCTTGAAACAAGACTTTCGGAAAGGGTTAGGTAACATGAGCTCTGATTGAACTTAAATGCCTACTGGCTTCTGGTTCCTAGGGTTCACACCCCGGGCAATTAAGTACGTCCCACGTACTCACTGGACGATTGAATTATATGCAAGTTAGTGATCTTCTAGTGCCCACTAAAACACTTGAGGAGACTATCTGTGGCTTATCAGCTAAATGTATATTTTTAAATCGTGTATGAACGTGTTTACCTAAAGATTATCAATATTCGTGAACCCCCTTTCATTTTGCACTGGTTCTCACACGGAGCCATTATTATTTGCTAACACAAGTGCCCTATAAACACACCCACACCATAATTAGGCATAATTCTTAAAGTGTGGAGAAATGGTTTTGTCCATTTCTAGTTGTGTGCACGGCTAAAAACTGGTGTCATTTAGAATTAATTAATGTAAAGTTCTTAGAATATGAATATCTGAATGCAATTCAAAGTGCTGTATTTATAGACATTCTCAAAAATTTCGTGTGAAGCAAAACTCCTTGGTTCAATAAAGTGCCACAATATTCCCCATAAGCACAGAGAGTGTTAGGACCTTTTAATATCGTGTCGTAGACGGAACGCTAGTCCAATCGCTTCCATGTTGAACAGCCACAACCGGAGGGGTTTTACTGTGCTCTTTCGATACTTTTGCGTTTCTACGCCCGGCGAAAATCGGATGGGCTGCTCACTAACCTAAGCTTAATCCGACGACATTCATCGAAGCGAATCCGACAGCACTGTACCTTTATCTGTCAAATTAACGCTCCGTGAGTGCCCTGATCTAATTGCTGGCATTATAATCGAGAACTGTCGTCATTCTACACAGCTACGTTAACATCCAACCATTTATGGTTACCGGGAGATTTCAAGAGTGTTTTAACAAATTCCATGCTTTATAGTAATTCGGAAAAAGAGAGGAACGCGGGTAAAAGGCAAGGCGTTTATTGTCCATAAATTTGCATTTTTCAATACACATATCTTTGCAAGGCTTCAATGCAGCACCTACGAGTTCACATAGGATGCCTGTAGATGATTGGATCGAAGTAGCGCTTTGCGAAGAGAATGGGGTCAAAGTAGGCACGTTTTTCGGCGTCATCCCTATTGCGCATGGCTAAAAGGCAAAAGTGAAGACACTTTAATTAAACAGTTAAAGAAACTTCTTAAATCTCAAAAATTTTGCAGATCCAAGAAATTATATCCATTTATGAAGTAGTGAGGCTGAACTGGTATTTGAATGTTTCTCGTGCGATAAAAGATACTGGGACTGACAAAAGTGTGTGAAAAGAAGCCATCCAGAAAAAAGTCTGCATTGAGTAATTTATCACAAAAGATCTTGATTTTTCATGGTTTTCACTTAAAACCATATCCCGTAAATGTACATTTACCCAGCGTGTGTGCGAACACACAGCAAGCAGTAGTCGTTAACACGTACTCTATTCCATCAGATTTACCCCTGCAAGCATTCAGCATGTTATACATAAAACTCTAAGAAATTAATTTGAAGCAAGAACGTCCGCTTCTGTTTTAATTGATCATAAAATTTAAATGGGCTTGTGATACATAGATTTTCACTAATGCCTTTTTTAAAGAGTTGGCAAATAATTATTTTACTGAGCATAAAATGACAACGATTGCTTAACGTTATAGTGGAAAAAGCAAGGTAGCAAATGCTCAATCAAAAGCTGCTTACGCCTCATCATGAATCGGATGGGGTCGAAGTAGCGTTTGGATAAGTCTAGATCCTCTTCATCGGTTGTTGGATGAGCCACCGACAAGCAAACGAAGACCTAACAGTGAGAAACAGATGCATCACGTACCGAGGGTTGGTGGCCCAATGACCCAGAAAAAAGACCATATCATTTGTTGGTATTTTGTCGTAATCAGAGTGAAAAAGCTAGCATTTTGCTAACAGTTAAAGGTAAAGTGATGAATTACTCACTGTTTGGAAGATATCATTTCAACGAATACTCAATTTGATAAAAGTTGAATAAAGAGTTAAGTGGTCCTGGAAAATAATCAACCCTGATTGTAAAAGGGGTGCTCTCAAGATAAAAGCAACTTTTAGAGTAACCGTCATATTTACCAAAAGCTAAATTTGAAAGTGTAACTGATAGTGTACCTTAAAATTCTAGACTTTAAGAACTGTGATTCTTGACCAACATTAGTAACCATTGAAGGTATTTCGCATATCTGCAGTTTTGACTAACTTAAATTTGCAAGTTACGAAAGCAGGACTTTACAATGTCGAACCAACACCTACGTGTCCATTCTTTTTGCAGTTTAGCCAGATTAACTGGCTTGCCCCTCAAGCAAGGAATCAACTCATCCAGACAGATGGCAAACCACGAGGCATATTGGGGGTCCTTACAAAACTCAGTTTCAAAATTGGCTGGTTTAATCTCACCAGGTAATGCCCTCATAAATGCACACAAAGAATTCCACTCTGGCAAGGAATAAACTAGCACAGAAGTTAAAAATTCTACTGACTTTATCCCGAGACTGCAAGTGGAATAAGCTTCATCAGATCTCGACAGTGAAATAACCTGCGAGCTGCAATTTAAACTGCCTGACTGAGAGTTTAAACTGACTTTTGACAGAACCAAGTGAAAAAGGTCCAAATTTCATGAGAAGAAGTGGATGTGCCTATCAGTGACCAAAATCAATCGAGTTGAAGTAATTTCACACCGTTTTCTTCCTCGATATTTTGAACAACATAAGTGGTTAGGCTAAGCTAATAGCAAGGATTGTAACTTAATATTCTTAAAATTTCTTCTGCTGACAATCACATGTAATAACTCCGATAGCATGACGTGGTCCACATAGTAAGTCAATTACAGGTCCTCGCACCATGATTACGGGAAAAATCAAAATAACAAAAGAGTTCACTCACGGATAAGGTGCAAAGTAGAGCCACCCATGTGAAACGCATTTTCTTCGTGATGCTTTTATAGAGTGTGAAAGCTAATAAAGTTGCAAAAATTCATTCGGTTTTATACTGTTTATGCTCATATTGTGTGTTCACTCTTGGCCAATCAGCGTAGAAGCTTCTGGTACTCACCCATTATTGGTTAGAACTAATGCATTCTCAGAGAAGGAAAAGTATTTACCCAATCACGTACCGAAATCTGTAGAACATGAAGGTGACTCGCAGAAAAAAAATCAGGGATTTGCATAAACTAAACAGAAATGATCATTTGATGCCCCTTTGAAGTGATAAGTGAAATACAACAACCTCCTGATTGCCTTCCTCAACTCCAGGACTGAGATTTTAGAAATTTAAGAAAATTGTTGGTTAAAAGATTTGTAAAGGTCAAACGTTTGCGGAAACTTCCATTAGCTATTACGAAGATGTGGGTATCAAGGAACAAAGACAACAAAATTAAGCAGGTGATGGTCACGAACACGGGCAAAATTTCACCTTCCACGTTTAAATTGCTTTATTTAAACAGCTTTAAGATATAAAAATTCATAAAAAAAGAATGCAGAAAAGTACTCGCACTAGTAAAGTAAGATAACACTAGCATCGGAAACTGAAGTGCTGGAAAATTGCAAGTGATTGATAGAAATCATGGAAATGGAGAATGAACAAATCCAATCAATTAAGTGCTAAACAGCGTTGTTTTAGAAATAGTTGGTGAAGGTCCGTTTTCTGACATACCGCACATTGCGAACTTAAAACTCAAGTACTGAACATTGATGACAGTTGTCAAATATTTCCTGGTTACTGCTAAAGACGTAAAGAAATTGTGCTAATCTTCGGATGATTCGCAGAAAACGTATAAGATTTACACAGCGTTCTTTTTTGCGAAAAGTTCAACTATTTACCTCTAAGATATTCTTAGCATAAGCCTTAAAGAAGTTAAAAGTGAGATACGAGTTTTTTGGGCTTTTCAACAGGTCAAAATATTATTGTGCCTTATTTTTGACAAAGTCACGGTTAAAGAAGGATACAAAAGAATTAATGCACTGTGAACCATCTCTGAGAAATTAGACTAAATGACACCACAAATTAACGGTAAAATATGTGTGGGTTATACAAAACATATCATTTGAAGTCCCCTTAAGTTACCATACGCATCTAATTTGAGAGCATTTGCAAGCAGGTTTTACTACTGAAAACAAACGGAAATATGTTATATAGATTCTATTTACTGAAAATGTAGTGCGATTGTAGTAAGAATAAAACCGCTGCTTGAATTGCACGATAAAATATTTAAAGGAAATGAGGCACCATTACCACGTCGCTGACACAAGTAAAGTGGAAATTAGAAAGTCGGAACGAAATTCTTACATTTATGAGACATTTCAATTTACGACTCTGAAATCCGAACCTTATCTGGATCAAAATAGCGTCTGCATTTTGTGCAGTGGTTTGACTGTTAAGCGTTGAATTTGTAAGATTTAATTTTAATCATGGTCGAAAATTAATAATAGTTAAAGGAAAAGTTTTCGTGTTACGTGTTTGTGAACTAAAGTATGTATTTTAAGTTCAGATACCGAACACTTCTGTTTTCGAAATGCCGATGTTAAGTGGAAAATAAGCCATATCTGTAATGTAAAATATCACTTTCTGCCTGTTGCTTTAGATTTAGCTTTCCATTCTTAACTTCATTTGTTGTATTTACTACAAGACAAGAAAAAAAAACAGCAACTTGGACAATTTACTTACAATTTTTACGGTGCGAGATAAACATAAGGAGCAAAATCATTCAAGTTAAAATTCTAAATACCACATAGAAAGATTGGTGGGCAAAACACTGATTCTGAAATGACTTGCCTGATCGTGTCATTCAGCATTAAAGTTGCCATTAGCTACTCAATAGATATCGTATTAAGGCCAAGGGGGTAGCTGTTTCTTCTGCTCTTGAATAACATTCTTTGACAATTTCAACCCGTAAATCACTAAACGACAAATCACTAAATATAGCGTTTGTCAATCTTCTTAAAAATCTATGGTGCACCATATTTCTCATGCCGCTGATAAACCCCAGTTGTTCTAACTCCCTTGAAACTTTGCAACACATATGATATTAAAATGAAGCTGATTTTACTTAATTTAATACAGGCTTCGCATTCTTCATTAAAACATTTTGGCTGTTTCTGTCCATGCACAATGTGTAATTACTTGACACGGGCCGTTCCCTTATTGTCTGCAAACGAATGGCCCTGCTTTTCACCCTCTTGCTCTCATAGGCACACTTATTTCCAATTGTTTTACATGAGGTATATTTGTAAGCAACATTTCACCTACACAACAGTACAACATAAGTTCCACAACAAATAAATGGACTGCTGTCATGATTGGAATGTATTTTATGCTCAATAATGCATTTTGCATAAGTGCTAGGTATTAAACCTCATTTTATATTCAACGGTGCTAAGTTGTGCACAGGGCGTTTATACAAAACTTGCCACTGGCATTTGGGACTGCACATTGTTAAAACTGATTGATTTCGTTAGGCTTCAAACTACACAAGCGCATCAGCTCACATTGGCTATCAATTCGAACAATCACTTTACTGAGATCAAGTTACCAACAGTTCACTTAAAAAATGCTAATTTAAAAAAAATTAGAATCAAGGAAAGTGGACAACAAATGATTTGGAATGTAATTAACGGTTTTTATAATGTACCTGAATAAAATTCATGCAAACTGAGGGCAATTCTATACCGTAAGAATAATAAAATTTAATTTAGCCTACTGTCACATATTTGTGTGTTTGATTGTAAAGTAAAAATGAGAATGTTTTTGCCTGTGGAATTCGCAAAAGAGACATGCAAAGTAAACCTTCATTGTGTTTTGAGCATAGCGGCGTTTTTTATGTTGCAGTAACGTTTATGAAGAAATAAAATATCATCATTCAAATCTAGATACAAGTATTCAAATGCGGTTATCTGGTCATGGTCTGTTCGTAGTTTAGCTAAATTTAAACAAGTATCTGTTCACATTTTAAAGTTTGAGTCATCTGAAAATTCAGGCAAAATTATTTTTCAATGTTAGGTGGGTTCTGAATAGTAAATGCCATCTTTAAAAGCACTTTCTTTGGCAGATAACAAAGGTCTTAAATGTCGCGGAATAGGTCTAGTAAAATGGAGATTCTGCTATTCACCAAGTAGAAGAAAATGTGTACAAACATTTTGATAAGAACTTCTTGGTGTAAGATATTTAGTAACGAACAGGTTTTATAGAAAAACGAAGGCTATCATGGTCCTATTTAGTTATGTATAAGGTTAATTGTCAGGGGCAAAATGAAAAAATATAATATTCCTAGGTGCCGTAATGTGGGCCTATACTGTTTTAAAAGGCCTGGTTAGCAGGAAACCATAATGTTTATTTTTTATGAAACACTAAATTAATCTGAAGCATAAATAATTTTCGCACTACCCAAAAAATGCACGACAATTTCACAGCTTGATCAGTGACTCATAATACCCCTAATTTGACCCTAATGCATCTCTTTTTACAGGAAAAAAATCATCGACTTGACGTTTTTTAACTTATGTGTTCAACATAGCAGCATTGTCATAAATCCTTGCTACAACAGAGCCTACAATCAGGGGGGGGGGGCAAAGAGATGGACACCATGAGAGATCCAGCCAGATTTGATCGCTAGTTTGAACCTTGTTGGACCTCGGCAAATTCAAAAAATTTACTGAATGGTAAAAGTGCATGCTCTGAAGACGTCAAGTATGTACACAAAGGCATTTATTTTTGAGATTTTGTCTTGCCTTAGTTTAATGTAAATTATTCTTTTTACATTTGCCACGCTACGTTTTCAAAAACTTGCTTTTGACTTCAGATTTGTTATGATCCGTACTTACTTTTCAAAGGGTTTTAAGAACAAATTAAGAGATAAAATGTCTTGCTAATGGACACACCTTTAAAGCACAGAAGCAAGCACTAAAATTTGTCATTGTGAATTCTTGCTTCATTACAGAATCTCAAGGAAGTTACATAAAACCCACTGAAAATAGTGAATATTACTTGGCTCTGGAATTGCACAGCAAAATGACCCAAATGATCACTAAAGTGCTATTCTTCTGGAGATGTATTAAGTTTCAGCGTAAAACTGTTGATATTTTCTAACAAATAACTGCAGTGCATGTCAAAAGCCTATGGCTTGCAAACAACCCTATTTAGAAAAGGAATCAGAGCTAGATGGGCTTGTTGCCGACAGGGAAGCGTGTGGTACCAGAGCTAGTGGGTCTATTTTCATATTGCCATATGCTTAGTTATAACAATTGTGCAACAGCAGTTCAGTGTTTGCCCACAGCGTCTGATCTCTCTTCCTGTGACAGATTGGTAAACGAAACCATAAGGTTGGTAATCATCACTGAACCACCACCACCGCCACCGCCACTGCTAAAGGATGCTAGATCTCGCCTTCCCAGTCAGCAACCACCCCCACATTCCTCCTGGCATAAAAGAGTGCAATGAATGGCATATGGCGTTGTCAACTGTTGTTTGCATTTAAATAAGTTTACAGCTTCACAAACGAGAGTCAAAGAATCACTTAAAAAAGTTTTTGCCTTCATTTTACTACCGAATCCATCCAGCATTATTTAGCAGTAAGAAGTTTCCTCAAAGCTACTCAATGTTGGCAAAGTACAAGAGGGGTATTTATCTGAAAAAAAAATAAAGTTATAACGTAATTTTACTTTAGATCGCGCACATCATGAGTCAGCATTCAAGGAATGTGAGGATTTTGCTACTGTTCATTAAAAACTTGCATAAAGTTAATTTGTTGCTTTTCGCATGGAAAAAATGGCCGACGGCGTGGCTTGTTATCCTAATAAAATGGAAATCATGGGTTAATGGAAAAAGTTTGCGTTACAAACTCAATGACACC